GTCGGGTAGCATCGGGTAGATGTGCACGGGGGTAATGCAACCTTATGGAAAATCGGAGTTTGGATTTGCGTCGGGTAGCATCGGGTAAATGTGTTTCTGGCTTAAAGAACTTACAATATTTATTTTGTAGTTTTTTTCGTTTTAAAACATTTTGATCTTATACTCGCTGTTTTGGTATTGAAATGCGTTTCGGCTTTCAGTGAACCTCAGTGATAGGTCTGTAAGCTCTGTTAGCGGCAAGCGAAGGTTACCTAAGGTATGCTCGAAGTGAGAGTCGGAACAAAGAGAACTTATAAATCGTACCAAGAGAGATAGCAGACGATACATACTTTTTATGTGCAAATAATTGAAGAATTATTTGTAACTTCAGAACTAATATGACAGTACAGGCGAAATCGACAAAGCTACAGTTCGATCACCCCGCACACCCCAAGAAGAAGAAATTTTAATACAATACTACTAAATATAATGTTATAGAGTATAAATCTTTAAGATACAAAGTTAACTGTCGAACTGCAAAGTATCTAATTTGTAGTGTTTATTGTTTCAAGTCTAAATTAATTACAGAACAGAAAGTTTTATTGGCGAATACATACTTTAAATACAGTGGTTTACTGGAGTTTCTGTCTGGCGACACTTACCTCCAGCTGGTTAAGTTATGACTGATATTATTTTTCTAGTAGGGGAAAAATATTGGAAAACCCTCAGCCATCATGGCCAAGTAAGAAGAGAGCGTTCTTTATTCTCCTGTGCATGTACCTGTTGTCCAAACAATAATTACCTATTAGGCAGTACATTGTATTGGTACTAGCCTCGCATTGCTTATAAAATTTGATTATTACATCTGCAGTTCGAGATGCGTGTATATGGGAGAGTCTATAGCAAGCTTGTTCTGCACAACCTGCAGCCAGGCGATATTTGTACTGCATGTGAGAATCTATGACGGGCATGCTAAAAGGATCATCGACCAGACCACCACCTTGTGCGTGAGAAGTTTATTGGCAGGCAACAGAGTCGTTTTGCCCTTAATCTCTTTAACAGTGGATTAAAAGTGATTTTACGTTCCAACATCACCCTAGATACTCGGACGACACAGTTACTCCTTCGAGCTGGGTCTTTTTATACAGCAACGGTGAACTGAAAATAATTGCCTCCGTTTTATTATGATTAATATTATTTGTCCAACGATCGCAGAAACTCTCTATGCAGCGCATTGCGTGGTTAACATGTTCGATATTTTACCTGTTCTCCAAGAGATACAGTACAGAGCGATATATCAGCATAAAAAACCTTTTTTACGTTCTTAGCGTGAGGTATTTTGTTGAAATACACAAGGAATAGAACTTATACAAGGATAAGGCCTTGGAGGAACCCCAGCAATAATGTCTTTTGGTTGAGGCTTAAAAAACTGGATCTGAGGATCTCTAGATAAGAGTTAAGAGCGCACTGTTTTTATTACGTAGAAAGAAAGGTATATTCATTCAACCTGTTGATTATACCATTATGCCAGACAGTACCAAAGTCCTTTTGGATAATGACATGGAGATATCCGACTATGTAACTCTAAACCCCTCAATATATTCTGTATTTATTGGTTTACAAAAATATATTTATGGTATAATATATACCGCCATAATTGTACATAGATTTATGGACACGTAATTTTTTTTAAAGAAATATCGGCGGTGTTTCATTTATTTTAATCATAATTATAATTGAATCGTTTAAATTGAAGAAAAAACAGTTGGGCAGGGTGAAAATTAATTTATATTCACTAATTTCGTGGTCCGCTTGACCAATTACTATATTACAATTAATTAAGGTTTTTAGTTGAGATAAAAAAGTCAATGGCTCGAGCGGGATTCGAACCCACGATCTTCGGCTTGATACGCCGCTGCTCTACTTCTTGAGCTATCGTGACCTCGATCCACTCGGACACCAACTGAAAAAATTGCAAAAAGGAGGGAAAATTCAAAAAGGTGCGGTTGAGATGGGAAGTTGGTGTCCGAGTGGATCGAGATCACGATAGCTCAAGTGGTAGAGCAGCGGCGTACCAAGCCAAGGATCGTGGGTTCGAATCCCGCTCGTGCCATTGAATTTTTTATCTCAACTAAAAACCTTAATTAATTGTAATATATCAATTTATATATTTAAAAGTTTTGTTCCGCGGAATAACTAACTTCAGTACAACTTATGATTTTTCCTTCTCGAAAGTGGGATAATAGGTGACCTCAAAAAAAAACAGGTCGAAATATAAGAAAACATCGTAACTTCAGTACCAGTAACTTCAGTCATCTTAACTGGGGTCTGAGTGAGGTTGAGTGCAGTGAGCAATGCTATGCCATCTACCGAGCTAGAAGAAAAACAATCATTCACGCATTCAATGTCAACATCCATTCGTCTTTACAATTTACCTATTTAAAACGCAATAATAAGGGCGTCGATAAAGGCGTTGACACGGCGCTCATCACTGTAAAGTAAAGGTCCCTGATTCGAATCCAGCGGCCCTGCATTTAAACCCGACATACTTACAATGGGCTTTTTTCAGAAAACACCGGCACCCTGAATACACCTTTGTGCAGCACTTGTTTTGTGCTTACATATATATAAAATCATTATGACCCAAGTGCCAATATGTAGCCTTAATCATGATCAAAATATCCATGATAATAAGAGTATTGATAATTCTTTCTAAACAACTCACTACATTTTTATTTTATTTATTACAAACACAAGTTTTGAAGCCTACTGCCACAAGACAAAAACAAGGTCAACAGGACAACACAATAGATTATGGATGATAAATGATAGAACAATATGAAAATAAATGTGTAAACAAAATTTAACTATAAATATTCCAGCTTGCTTTGGCTTACAGATTTATATATTTGGTACTTGTTGGTATTTCAATTGGACAATTTAATACTAAATCTGGTGAAGGTGTGGGGTGCGCTGTGTATTGCAAAGCTGTGTGTACTTCATGGTCCTGTAGCATTTACACAGAAGAATTTGGCATGAGCCTGAGGTGATTCGAGGCGATGGTGACTATCCTTACCTAGTCTGCATCAACTCCCTCAATGTGATTACTGCTATTCATGACAGGTTCTCTGTCAACCCTCTAGTGCTTTTGTGTGATAAATACCAACCCTCAATTAGGTTAGTTACGTAATAGGTATAAAGGACAATATCTTAACTCATTGGATGGAATGTAACTAAGTAATTTAAGAGTAAGTGAAAGAGTGAATAGGTTTGGTTTTAGAAATGATCAGAAACAACCAAAACACAGATTTATCATCCAGCAGACTTCAAAAGGAAAATTCACTATTTATTTTGTAGTTTGATCATTCTTTGTCATTTTAGTTTGCCTACCCTCACTGTTTGGCCAGTCAGCTGTTTGTCTTCTACGGTTCTTACATCACCCCATAGAAGAATAGCCCTCTACTCGGACCAAGCGGCACTGAAGGCAATTGCCAGTAAAGTCCAGAGTCTTTTGGGACTGCATTGCCCTGTTACAAATTGGAAAAATAATAAAATTACCCTTGTCTGTGTGCCAGGACCCAGGGCAGAGGGGCAATGAAGAGGCTAATAAATTGGTTGGAAAGTGCAATGACGACACCTATTGGCCCTGAACCCTTTTTGGCTTACCAAACTGCCAAAAACGCGGATCCATTAGACAATGGGTTAATAATAAGTCCTCCGTCAATGGGAATGTAGCCTGGGACAGAGGACTGCCAAAAAGTTTATCAAAAGACCATCGCAGAACTACTAAACCTAGGATGTGCTAGGACTAGAATAATAGTTGAACTGCTAACTGGACACTGCAGACTCTGAAGGCACATGTATAGACTGGGTGGCCGAAACAAGCCTGTTCAGACATTGCCAAGAAGAAGAATCAGCGGAACACGTCTTCTGATGGTGCAAGGCCTATGTAGGCTGAGATTCCTAATCTAGGAAGAGGAAAAGCCAGGACCTGAAGGATACACATAGGAGCCCTTGAAAAAGCTGTGGGGTCTGGTAAAAAGCCTCAAGCTTAATGAGGAGCTCTAGATAAATAATGGAGATAAACAATGGACCAATACTGGTCGCGGTGCACAGGTTATAAAGAATCTGCTCCATAGAGTGTGACGTCCGAGCCATATCCAGTCATGTCAAAGGAAGGATTCGCGGCCACCAAACGCTTTGTGTACCGGATGATGACAATAAAAGGATGGCCTACACCACCCAACAGTGGCGAATAAGTGTCAGTGTAAGTGTTAATCTAAGTATCAGTGAGTGATAAATTAGATTTAATTGTATATATAAACATATTGTAGTTTATTGTATATATAGTATTAGTATGTACGAGGGGTGCCCACTCTCTTTCTCTCCTGGGTGGGGTTCAGTGTACGGGGAGATTGGGCACCCCTCATTATCACGTAAGATATTTGTAAGGTGCGACCCTCACGTCATATCCCTACCAGGCACCTCCCCGTGGTCCATCCTGGGCACGGGTGCAGCCGTGGCTAACGCCTGGTGACGTGAGGGTTAGGCCTTCAGGGGTATATGGTTGCACGACCATCCTGTGTAAGACCAGAAACGGACATAGGAACAGGCAGCCTTAGACCTTTGAAGGTGGTAAAAAATCCAGTTCCTATATAATCAAATCTAATTACCCCATAGATCTCAAGAACATTAGTTTAAACGACCATAACTGGTGTTGTAAGATCAACGGGCTGATATCTTCAATTCAGTCAACTAGATAATCTCTCTCATGAAAATTGTTGAGTAAAGGTTCATGATTTTTGTTTTTGAGTTTACAGTCTACGCTTGAAAATTGAATTTGAGCGGCAATCAATGTCGAATCTTCTGTACTTGATCAGAGATGTTTACTTGTGCGTAAAATATATGTTATAAAATATGTATCACTGTAAGTCTCTTTATACCAATTTATCACGGTTTAAAATAACAGTAGGAATCAATTATGCTAGAGATTTTTGAAGCGGACATAGCGATCTTGAAGTTGAACTGTTGAAGCTTTGGCTGAACCTGACCTGCTACCTACTGCTTTTTTTCTCGCTTTGCGTTGTTCATCGTGCAATTCCGGTGATTAACTTATATTTGGAACATTTTGTACGCAAAATGTCAAAACAAGGGGAGAAAAAATGCTGCCTGCAGTTATGCAAACCCTTGACCACCAATAATTTGGCGTTCCACTATCTTCCCCTGTTCGGAGCAGTCAACTATGCTACGCTTTCCGTCAACGTGATGCATCCTTCGCTCATCGCGAGGTAGTTATGAACTTTTTTCCTTGTCGATTATTTGGGATTGCATAAAAATTTATGTTCCAGGCTGTGCCCTGCACGGGATGTGACGAACGTCCTACTGGCGAATTCAGTCGTAGGCACTACTCTGTATATCTACAGCAGACCCCATTTGAAACATGCCCCAACACAAACGAGGCTTTTATACAGGTTGATACTTTTACCTTTTTGGTTAAAATATATAAATTTTTCAGGGCAATTCGAGTATTGTTGCACAATTTCTGACCATTGGTCACCCTCCTAAATATCAAGAAATATTAGTGCAACTTAATTTCATTCACAAAATAAGAAAGCTGTTTACTTCTAATGTTAGGTACATCAGCTATATGTAAACTAGTACAAGGCTTCTAATGGAGTGTCTACTGTTGCGAAACCCATCTTTATTGTCCAAAGTAACCATATCGGATCAGACGAGGTCATTAAAAGGAAACGTTGTTAAGAAGAAAGGTTGTTATTTGAAGACAGACAATAAGTGTACAAATATTGACATTGAAGTAGCTCTGTGTGACAATATTGGTAGCATGAGAAAGCATCCAAGTCACTGTGTGCTTGTAAACAGCATGGAAGCTGTCACAGTGACAGCAGCAGCAAGATGGCCTTTGGGCAAACTCAACTCTCAACTCTAACCCTTTAACTCTACCAATGGATGTCTCTACGGTAGATCCACTGTACCTAGTCCTGCCATAAGTTCTGTTGCAATCATTCACCTTGAAAATAATCCCAAACAAACGCCTGGCGAACCTTGCTCTCTTGCCTATTGTTTACCTTTGATAAAATGCTAAATTCTTTTACTCAGTTGTTATTGAGAATTAATAACGTCAAGTTGGAACGTTGAACCAAACCGTCATGCCATCATCGCACTGCACAAGGCAGGTAAATCAAAATCAGAGATTTTCAAGACGCTGAAATCGTTAGGAATAAATCGAATGTTTGTGTGGCGCACCATAAATCGCTTCAAAGATACTCTATCTATTAAAGACAAACCAAGGTCCGGCCGTCCTCGCTCTATGAGGAGAATGCCATCAAAGCGGTTGAAAACCGAATTCGAAGAAATCCGCTACGAAAACAAAAAATATTGTCCAGAGAAATGGGGATTTCTTCCCGATCAATGTCGTGCATCATATAAGACGATCTTTCGATGAGTGCTTACCGTAGAATGGCAGGACAAAGGCTTACAGTATCTTTTAAAAAAAATTAGTCGAAAGAGCCAAGGCATTGTTGACCCGGTACGCCGATGGAGTTCATCGAAACATCTTGTTTACCGATGAAAAAAATTTTACCATCGAGGAAAAATTTAACCGTCAAAATGACAAGGTTTATGCTAGAAGTTCTCTAGAAGCTCAGGAAAAAATCGGAAGGGTAGAAAGAAGCCATCATCCTGTTTCCGTAATGGTGTGGTGGGGAGTTTGCTACGATGGCAACACAAAACTCCATTTTTGTGAGCAAGGATTCAAAACAAGGGTGAAAAATTACCAAGAAGACATCCTTGAGAAAGTAGTAAAGCGCCCTTAAGTACTAGGCAGTCTCGACTTAAACCCTATCGAGCACCTTTGGGCCTGTTGTTAAAAACGGTAAAAAAGTTGCCCAGTGAAGCCAGAGAATTAGAACTGTTGGAAGAGTATGAACATATTTTACAGCACTACATTCAAAACCTATTACCTTATTCTAAAATCCTATGTTAACGATTGTTACTTCCAAGTATCCCACAGAAATTCATTGTCTCCTATCCATTCTTGCAGGTGTTCCACAGGGCAACGTGCCCTGCGTAATATATATAAAAAAAGTTTACTTAATTTGTTACCAGTATATCAATGTAGACTACTTGAAAATACAGAATCTTACTTAAGAACAAAAAATGCCAATTTAAATTTATTTTTTCTTGTTTCAGTGGTTTTAGTGCTGTGATGTTTAACTTTGGCTCAGTGCTTGTCTGGGCAGTGCTCAGGACCGTTACAAAAAGTCAGTGCATCGCGACCTTAGTCGGCCTCTTGTCCGGTTTTGGTATGGTAGCAGCTGGCAAACACTGTCTTCAGTACATCGACAGCCAGGTTGAAACTTCATCAAGTTCATAATGATTGTTTTTGATAAAAAGTAAATCTTTTGTACACTAGTCTCACATCTTGGTAATAAAAAATGCATTTAGTGTCATGCTATGGCATGGTTGTTGAAATTGTAATTATCATTTGTTCCACTAAAATATTTTTTGAAAACGAACAGCAGAACATTTTAAAATAATAACATTTTAAGTCAAATGTTTTGTAACATGAATCAGTGTGGAAATAAAAAACTTTATTTCAGGCTTGTTATTTTTCAATGTGGATTTTATCTAAACTTTCTCTCTCTCTTGAAGTCTCTAAAACTTCTATCTACTAAAAATGTTTCTGTTATTTTCATATAATTGGCTAGATGCTGGTAAAGGAAATTCAGACAAGCTCCAAAAAAGCTGCTAATAATTCTATAACAGGAATTATGCCTTAAAAAAGATTTTGTTTCAAAAATATAAGAAGACTGGTATAAGAATAGTTGCTGAACTAAGTCAAATGCTAAACCGGGATTGGTTTACTTGTTGGGCTCATCTTCACTCAAGAATTTGTTGGACTACTCACTGTACTCATATACTGTTCTTCACTGAAGATGCTGAATGCTGAAACCTGTGAGAGCAGATGGACCCATTGCCGATTCAGCATTGATAAGGAACAGTTTAAAGTTAACACCCTGAATATAATTTATTATTGATATGAAATATAAGGACCAGGACAAAAAGTTAGATAGACCCCTGCTCTGGTATTTTGTCTATACATTACAATTGTTTTCATTAAGTTTTTTTTTCAGCAAAATTTTAATTGAATTTTGTTACTTAGTTGCCAGTAAAACATTGACGGGTCATGCCAGTTGGTTGATGCTTTTTAAATACTCAATTATATTAATAATGAAAAATTGTAGAATATCAATTTCGGAAATATCAAGAAACAGCATGGAAGTCTCTACATTTTCAAATAATCCAGAAGGCTACAGAAACAAAAAATACCAGGTAGGTCAACTGCCTTAATCAGCAAGGAAAAATAAGCAGTTTTTAGGATCGCTTTAAATTCCCTTTTTGACAGGTTGGCAAATCTCCAAATGCTGGAATATTACCAACATTAAAAACATAAAGAGGGGCCATGCACATCCAAAGGTGGAAAATGAAACAGGAGACGGATAACACCACTAAATAAAGTTCATAAGCCACTTCTATTGGAAGGAAGAATTGTGAAAAATTGTATTTTCAGATTTAAAAAACAAAAGGTCAGCAGTGTATATTGTAAACAAGATTATACCAAGGATACTTCCTTGGAGAATTCCAAATGTCACTGAAATTTGAGAGGAAAGGGATGTTCCCTCACACAGCAATACCAATGGGAAACATCTTGAGTACACCTTTAGTAGTAGTAATTCAAAATTTAAATTTTTTATTAATGGGAAGTCATATAAAATTAAACCTCTGGGGAAATACACTGTTTGTAACACAAATTATTTTGTATTTTTAGGAATGAGATTCCACTATAGTTTCCAGCTTTGTAATTTATAATAAATTGCCATTAGGCTTTGAGGAGTTTTTTTAATGCACATTAGGTTGGGGGGGGGGGGGTTGATATAGAAATATGTGAAACCTATTCTCCACCTGTGACCTAGGTAGATCTATTGTAGAACCCCTACAAATTATAGCCATACTTGTGCTCTTTTTCCTATAAGGTTAAACACTTTACTTGGTGCCTCTTTGCTTGCTTCTGGTGTGAAAGTTGCTGTACCATAACCGGGTTAATGCTTCACAAAGTAAATGTACTGATGTCTGGTTCCTCCTGACAAAGTCGTCATGTTTCTGTCCATCTTCTTTAGGTGATAGTTAAGAGGGCAGTGGCTGTTATAGAGGCCTATAATTTTTTTCATGCCTGCTGAGGAAGAGGAACCAGGTGTGGCTCCAGGTGCTGCCAACAGCTAGGTTATTTCTGCACGCAAAGCAATCATTTCCTAGATTCATACCCATTCATTCTTCAGTACATTCTTACTTATTTATATACCATTCACTCAGGATATTCCTCCATCACCCTTTTCACCTATTAAATAATTAACCTAATCAATGGATGATGGTCTAACCCTCTCACACTAAAATACATTCAATCTCAACACACAGAGTACACAATATACAATAAAATTCTTCCAAAAATGATAACAGGAAACCCCTGCTATGCTCAAAAATAATTTTCATGTTGTGTAGCATTACTACGTGTTCTCTATATGAAGTCAAGTAGTTCTACCCTTAGTTAGATGGAACACATCAAGCAACCTTTCTCCTTAAGCCAGCGCTTAAACAGGCTTTGGCACAAAAGTAAGCGTGTCATCATCATATGACCTATTCTTTATCTCATGATGTCTCTTCTACGAATCATATCCAACAAGGGCCACCTATTGACAAGCTCTTGATACAAGGGAGCTTCTTCAATCCTTTTTAAAAAATATAGTTCTTACTCACATAAGTGATATAATAGATCACTTAAATATATGCCTATTATCTAATTATTGTAAATTCAATAATATATTTTACAAAATGAAAGGGTTACCAATGGGGTCTCCATTATCCCCACTTTATGCTGAAATATTCATGGATAATTAAAAAAAAAAAAAAAACTGTAAGAACTATCTTTTTTAAAAAAGGATTGAACACCGCACTCACTCCAGCCCACTGATGCTGCCACTTTCTTTTAAACATGTTTTTTATCGCATTTTTAATGTCAGGTCAGTCTTAGCTAGCCTCCTTGTCCACCTTTTTGTAACCCTCCAGACTTATGTGCCCAGGTACCCAGTCTACAACCAGTTATGCTTGCAGAGTCACTCCAGCTCATATCACTCCAACAAGAGTACAATGATAGGGTCAACCGGGAACAAGTCACAGACAGCAGTAACTGTGTGACCTCAAGCACGTGCCAAATCACATCATCTATGTCAGTAGGAGTGACCACCAAGATCTAAAGCTTTTGAACGTACAAAGACTCTTCAACAAAACAAAAATCACAAACAGATGTATCAGGCTAATTATATATCTCATTACCTTTTGGGATTCCTTAAATTATCAATATGCAAGAATAAAATGTAACTGTAGATACTGTTTAACATTATTCTATCTCTCCCGTGTTATTGTAAGCTATTGAGGTTATTATAGTTGTAAAACGACTATTATTATTTTAAAATAACAGCAATTCACTAGTAGATGTACATATCTATGATCAGTCTTCAATTATATAATATAAACATGTCAAGGATAGGGTTAATTATATGAAATAATTTTAAAAAGGAAATATATATGTATAATCTTTCATTTATAGATAACACTGAATATTTACACTGTGTACAAATTAAAATAATAAATAATTATTACTCATAATCATCTTTCATTAGATCTTGAAATACTTCATATTCAAATAATGAAAGGCCAGCGACGTTGGTCGAGAATTCAGTGTCGGATGTATTGAGGATGATGTCCAGCCTGGGATTTTTGAACTTTTTCTGCTGTCGTTCCTTTTCTCTCAGAGGTTTATACACACCGGCCCTGATCAAAAATTCGAACCTTTCTCTAATATAGTCAATCGTGTAAGACAAGGCGCCACTGTGAGCGATCTCATTCTTGGAAACTAACATCTCTTTCTCTAGATAGTCTATTTTGTCCGACAGCCTGTCGACACTGTCAGTTATCACTAAAGGTGCCGTAAGAAAGATACTCAGGACAAGTTTTTTGTTGTACTTTGACAAGAGGAATAGGTACGTCTCTTCAATCCTGTTATAATTCGCTAAAAGAAGCTGCGGGTGGTCCGTAAGCAATTTCATAAAGTGTTGTTCGCCAAACTGGCAGTTGCTCCAGGCCAAAAGCGACTTGTCCAACTTTTCAAGATTTAGCGTTTCGATCTGAGGGCAGACACCGATCAAGTTGGAAGCCCTTTCATCGGTGAAGCCATACTTCTTTAAATAGCAAACGACCTGGGAACAACATTGACTCCTCGGAAGGAAATTTTGAACGTCGATCACAGATTCGCTGCTAGCCCCGGGTGAGTCCTCCTGTTTCAGATGTACACTGTTTAAAGAGAAACTGCAAACAGAAGGAACCACAGTTGACCACATCTTCAGGGTCTTATTCATCATTGGACTACACAAAATTGCCTTCATTAATCCCATTATTGGAACTATACCTTAACTTCTAGATTAAAAACCTACTTCAGATCTTTTAAAACAGTGATTCATAGCATTAAACTTGACAAAAAACCAAAACCAAACCAAAATAATACATCAGTTATCTTGGCATGGAAACCGGCCGAAGGTTAAATAAAGCTTTCTGACCTAGTCCAAGGCAGTTCTATGTGTGGCATCAATGGCCGTGTCTATGCCTACGTCATTTTATTTTTTCTGTCATCACAAATTGTATAAAAGTAAGATAAGGCCAAACCATGTTTTTCGTCAGTTTTATAATTATTCCAGCCCTAATGAACATAAATTAATTGGTCATGTTCGTTCTGAATATATTATTTAAAGGCTTTTGAACTTTAAAAAATAAAATGTAATTTAAAAGTTATGTGTTTTTATAATAATTTTTGAATAACCTAATCGAAGTTCACTGTCTAAAGCCTGATGATGTGATGACAAAAACAAGCACAAAATCAATCAGAATGGATGCAAAAGAAACAAAAATAGTAGTGGACAAACTGTAGCCGTGCCATACACAGCAAGCTGAAAGTAAAAGAACCCTCACCTAAACCGGAGATGACAAATCTCACAGGAATGAAAGAACTGTAAAGCTGTCACTAGCATCTGAGAAAACATCTATATAACCTGGGTATTATGTTCAATTTCAAAAATTGAAAATTCCAGGGCATTATGCAACTGGATTTGTCCTGAAAACTTGCTACGTTAACACTAACAAGATAAAAATATCAACCTCTATAGAGGCTTTTTTGTATTGGGGTCTGTTTCAAATTGAGTCTTCTGTAGATAGTATATAAGGGTAGTGCCTATGATTAAATTTTCCAGTAGGACAATAATATGTATGATCCTGCAGAAACTCTGGCCAGTTTGTCCCCAAGCACTGCAACCTTTTGACTTATTGCACTTTTCCTAGATCTTTAGTTCAGTCATTCAGTGTAATCGACTGAATGCTTTTAAAAGTATTAGGTCGTTGACTGTTGTTATGGTAAATTATTTTCCTGTGTTTTCTTTATTACCATTGTTTCCAATGTTTCCATTGAATGGTTGCTTTGCATTTAAAGTTGATATGGGCGGTTATTTTTTCCTCTTCATTGCTTAATCTACAAATGGGATCATAGTTGAATATGCCAATGTTATGTAGATTTTTCCCAGATGCCAGGACCAGAAAATAATCTTATCATTCCTTTGAATTTAGCCCTCTCTAACTATAGCAGTGAGTTTGCCAGTTTATGTGAGGATTCCTTTATCATAAATTTGCTGTGACTGGTACCCCTTGGGTTTTTACACTTCTCATTTTGGTTCTTTTGGATGCGTTATGAGATGGAGGATTCTGTGTCTGTTTTTGTCATCTCATCTGGCAGAACCTCTGGCCAGTTTGTCTGCATTTTCGTTACCCAAAATTCCTTTGCGTCCTGGCACTCAAGGCATCATCAGGTCCCCAGGTTTTAAAACGTGGTCCACTTCCAATTCTCTCCAAACCCAATTCAATCAAGTAAATTTTCTGTAACGATGCAATAGTTGAAGTAAAATAAATAACAAATTGATCAAAAGGAAGAGGGCAATAATTTTTAAGGAACATGCAGAATATGACCTTTTTCAGGGCATTCTGCAGGAAAGAAAAAATTAAAATATTAATAACCTGTCCTCAAAATTATTGTTAAAATCGCCTTTTTAAACGAACAGACCATTAATTTGAATGTTTTAGATTTAATTAATCAAATTAAACGAGGTAAAACCTGTTTAGGCAATTAATGTTCCTTTCAGTGCGTCACGCGTTCCTGCTGGAAGAACTGGCACATCTTCCAAGTCCAACCAAATCCAAACCACTACGAAACCTTTCACCTTTTAAGACCTTTCATATTTTTTATTTAAACTTTAAACACTGCACGAATGTGAAGTGGTTAATTCACCAGAAGGTCCAGGCCACCTTGGATGAAGGTCTCCATTTATAAAATGAATCGTGGATAAAACATCTTATCTTATCCAGGACAAGCTTTATCAGTTTTAGATTTTCTGCCATGACGATAAGCTCGGCCGAATAAAAGATAATTATTTGGTAAGTTGAAAATATAAAGTTAGTTAAAAAGTCAACATAGAATATTCATTATAGATTTAAGGATAAAAATCATGCTTAAAAAATTAAATATCCATAGCTTTTAAATTATGTAAATATCATTAAAAGAGGAGCATAATGTACACTCAAAGATAAAAACCAGACACTTGTATTTATTTGTTTACTTTCCATAATACACTGATAGACAAAATAAACGCACCATCCTTAAAATTTAATGTTAAATATTCAAAAATGAATAGGAATATTGTAATATTTACTTTCTTCTACTTTGCATTAAAATTTATTATAAATTATTGTTTTTTTATTGAAGGAAAATTATTGAAAAATAATAAAATAAAATGTCCATAATTCTGTTTATTGGGCATAATAATTTTTTTGTATGATGTCCTCTGTTAGCTAAAACCTCTGTGCACCTGTAAGGCATACTGTTGGCATATGGTTGTCACTAATTTCATTAGGAATTTCACCCCGTAGAAGTTGCGACGCTGCAGGTCAGCTGATGATCGAAAAGCCTTTTCTGTAACAAATTCCACATGTGCTCAATGGTACTGAGGTCTGGCGACAATGAGGGACGGGGAAGATGGGAAATTCCCATGTTTTCTAAACAATGATGAACACTGCCTCTATTAGGTCTGGCATTGTCATCCAGAAATTGAAAATCCTTGCCAATGAGATCCCTGTTTGAGGGATGTATTTCTCGATAATTTCTTGGACATAAGGGACTGCGGTGAGGTTGCCTTCAACAATATGGAGTCTAGTTCGTCCTCCAGTGTAAATTTCAGCCCAGACCATTGCATCACATCCTCCAAACTGCTACGGTAGCACGGAGTGGGGCATTGTACACATCCCCTGATCTCAGTAGATCCAGTTATCACTTTACAGACAGAAACACGGCTCATCAGTAAACAACAGCATTCCAATTGGTATTCTCTTCTAGGCACTATATTCTCCTGAGTAGCTGGTGGCAGGCTATTGCTGCAGGTCATCTCACAGGGGTATACAATGTGAGGCCAACTTCCCACAAATGATTATGAATCAGATGTGTTGATAAAGGCTGTGCCAAAACATCTTGTAGACTATGGAAAGGGTTCTGTCTTGCAGCAATGACTATTTCTTGACTTTAGCAAAATAATGCGCTGAAATTCACTACCCGGGCCTCCTATTGAAACTTCCAGTCTTACGGAATCAGGGTAAAGCCTGGAAGACGATACTGAGAAATGCTAACTGCCTCTGCAAAATTTACTTGCCGGTGACCTCTATGACTCATTCCAACATTAATATTGCCAACTTCTGGTTGAAGAAGATGTCTTTCCTTGGTTAAAGAGATCACAACTGGGTTAAAATAGAAAAAAGGTGTTAGTTCCCAAAATGAGTAATCTTCATGTTTCCTTTTCTTAAGTAAAACTGTTATTAAAAATTGAGGATTAACATTTTTTTCTTTTCTTTTCTTTAAATCCAACTAACAAGAATATATCAGTCAATTTAATTAAAATTAATAGAATGAGAATACATTACAAATATCCCTATTCATTTTTGAGCAGTTTATTTAGGTTTATTCATATTTTGCTTATGAAAAATAACTATGGCAAAAACTCACTGCTAGACAGAATAATGTGCTCCGCAAATGACATCGCTTACTTTCACTTATTTAATTCTTCTATTAACATTTTTCTGATCCAACTTCAAAATTTGCTAAACAAATCTGGACTATCTAGGTTTTTTTTCTTTATCATCTATACATATGAATATTATTGTAAATACCATATTATTTGTAAACATTGTAATAATTATTAGTAAAAAAAAAAAAATAAATAAATAAAAAGTATTATTCAAATCCTGAAAAGGAAACATGCTTACGGCTTGCAACACAACTAATCTGAAGTTTTTTTTTTAAAATTTTTTTTTATTTAACAAAACTAATCAAATTAATTGTTAGTTAAATTTAAAATTTAATCTATTACTTAATTTATTAATATTATTAAAACTAATGAATTTCTGATCTCATTCAATTTGGTTTCAATTCAATTATTACCACTTTTACATTGTGAAATTGGTATAGGTAGTGCATAGTATTTCTTATGGGGTGAAAAAATGCACTACCTTGTCTACTCTCTCCATATTTTTATTTTTTTCCAGCAAAGTAAACTTTGTCGTGAGAACAATATATGCAGTATTGCTTTATTTTATTCCAGACAAGGATGGACCATAAAAAAAACGAAAGCCCGGTCAATTGGTCAAAATATGGTCTAGGGCAGGAAAATTATGATAGAACGAGTGAAAACAGAAATGAGTACGGTATTAGCGGTCACCAGCCTGCTGGGCCCAATGAATTATTCGCTGGTGAACAGGTAACGATTATTTATTATGAAAATATTTCATTTTATGATTTATGGATTTTTCCAGAGTGATACTCCTTGGTGGAAGTCTCAATTCTTTATATCAGAACCGATACTTTTTGGACCAATAGATGGTGTTTTTACATCGTGTTTGATAAATGTTTTCGGGGTAATAGTTTTTCTCCGTTCTGGATGGATTGTCGGCCAAGCGGGTGTCCTTAATGCAATACTTATGATCTTAGCAACAGGTGATTCATCAGTTTAACTTTTTTCTTTTGAATCAAATTATTTTTAATATCTGTTTTTTTGAACATGTAGTTGGTATTGCTTTGATTACTGTACTGTCAGCTGTTGGGATATGTGAAAGGTGCAGAATGGAAAGTGGAGGGGTGTATTTTCTTCTTGCTCATGTTTTAGGACCTAGATTGGGTACTGCTTTCGGTCTTCTTTATGTGTTTGGCCAGGTAACATTATTTCTTATTTTTTATTTTATTTTTATTATTTTTTTAAAAATTAATATTCTTAATATTTAGGCTGTGGGATGCAGCTTATTTGTCCTCGGTCTTGGGGAATCCCTGGCAGAATTTGTTGGCCTGGAGGGAAATCATTGGGCCCAAAGGGGCTTTGCAAGCGGTGCAGTTCTTCTGTTAGGTGCAATAAACATGGCCGGTGTTAAATGGGTCGTAAAACTTCAGTTTATGCTCCTCATCGTTCTTTTACTCGCAGCTCTTGACTTACTCGTTGGAAGTTTTGTACACACAGATATACGTAACTAATTGAAATATTGTAAAATATTAAATTTTGTGATTTTAATTATAATTTCTGAATTCAGAGAGTGGATTCATGGGATGGTGGAGAGGGATGATCAGTCAGAATTTATATCCTGACTATTTCGACGGCTACAACTGGTTCACTGTATTTGGTGTATTTTTCCCGACTATTACTGGTATTCTCGCCGGAATAAATATGAGCGGGGATTTAAGGAATCCCGCTAAAGATATTCCAAATGGTACACTTGCTGCCGTAATTACAGTGTAAGAAAATAAACAATACTTAATACATCAAAATTTTAATTGTTGTCTTATTTCAGGACTGTTCTTTATTTACTATTTGTAATTGTTTTGGCTAGCACATGTACAAGAATGGCTCTCCGAAAAGATTTTATGATTTCTGCCAAAGTTTCAGCTTTAAGTTGGTCAAAATATACTAAATCATATAGATTAATTTTATTGTTATTATTAAACCATTTTTACATTTTATATTAGGACTGCTTTTACTGGCCGGATTATATGTTTCTTCAATGTCCAGTTGTTTAGGTGCTATGTACGGCACACCAAGAGTTCTTCAGTCAATTGCCAATGAAAATGTTATTCCTCTCTTAAGAATATTAGGAAAAGGGGTAAGTGATTTAATTTTACAATAACATTTCATTAGGAGCATCATTCTGGATTGATGAAAAAAAATCCTTCCGTATATATGGACATCGTTTCAGAATGACGTGCCTAACAATCTAAAAAACCGAGTCTTTTTACTTCAAAAGACTTCACAAGTTTAATTAAGGGCCATTTATAAACCTAAATAAATTTGAAAACTAAAACAATAAAACCTATTTTGGGAGTGTCTTTAGAAATAACAGCTGTAAAGAATATGTTAACAAATCTTTGTATATAATTATTTTGATTTTAGAAAGGACCAAACAGAGTTCCCATATATTCTCTTGTACTTGTCGCATTTGTTACAATAAGTTTCATATTAGTTGGTGATATAAATTCTCTTGCTCCTGTTGTCACCATGCCTTTCCTTATGATGTATGCTATTATAGACTATGCCTATTTTGCACTGGCACAAACTTTTGATTTGCAGAACCACCGTGAACAAAGATTTAGGTAAAACTTTTTTTTTTAATTTTCATTTTGACTTCATTAATGCAAATACTATGTTTAGGCCATATGAGAAACCAAATTCAGGTTCATCGCCATCATTGCAACATAGTGATTTTAGCAATGATTTAGATTCATTGTTTCCTGAGAGAAGTCATCATCGAATGTATTCCACCGTACGTGTTCAATTTGTATTTAAAAAAAAAATTATTGATTTATTCTTATTTATTTAATAGATATCTGCCACTCCCAGCCCTGAACAGCCAAACCCTCCTAGTCATATTGTTCACAAGAAAACGGCAAACTGGTATTCAAATTTCTGCAACAGGTGGCTTTCCCTTTTTGGGGTAAGAAAAAAAAATTATAACAAAAATTTGAATGTTTTGCGAGTGCATATTAAATTTTTCAGGCATTTTTGAAACTTGGCATGATGTTCCTGGTTCATTGGAGCTATGCTTTAGTCAATTTGGGGATGGTCTTTTTAATATGGCTTTACGTCGGTCTTACAAATCCAGCCGTCAAACCGGGGGCAGCATCAGAGTTCAAATTTTTCAAGTGGCTTAAAGTAGCTCTGCTTCGCATATGCGGGTAGGAACGATTAAAATACTAAATGTAATAAAAAGAAAATATATATCCGTAATGAAAATTTATTTTCAGGAAAAGAGGAGTCGATTATGAGGAAATTGTTGTCTCTCCTCACCATCCCGGAGTCCAAACTTCTCCTTCGCAGCTTACAGAAGAAAACGAAGATTTTTCCAACAGGCAGAGGTTTCATCAGACAGCCACAATTCGTCCTCTGTATCATGATGACCCCCTTCATAGCAACATAGAGATACTGAGATAGTACATATTAGGACTGTGAGTTGTAATTTTTATTGCAACAGGTAATTAATTTTAGTTTCTAATCGTAATTTTTTTATTTTTTATTTATTTTTTAATGGTGCTAATTTGGAATTAACATTGGGTTTCATAATTTTTTTAAATTTTAATAATTTTAAAACTTTTGTTTTTAAACTGAAACAATTTATTTGCATTTTATTTAAAAAAACAAAAGGCAATATAAATAATTTAAGTACAAAACAATCAGTATTAGAAATGATTTTTTAAAAATTTACATCAATGTGACTTTTGAGATTTTAATTTGTACTAAGTAGAAAATTAGTAATATTGCTATTTATTTATTGATTATTGCCTTAATTTAATATAAACAAATTCCTTAAAACATTAATAAATATTGTTTGTTTTGAACTTTGAAAATAATCAGAACTCACCAATTTAATATGAAAACTAATAATTGCTTTGCCTTGAATCACCGCTTTGTTTAAATTCAATTTGCATTTAGTTATTAGTCTTTGAAAGCCTTTTGATACAAACAAAGTATGCCACATACTTAATTTGTGCTTAACAATATTCCAAAAAAATTGTTTGGCAATTATTCATTTTTCACAAGACCTCCCACTGCTTGTAGCATAAGAATGCATATTTTTCTCGCTAAATTTTAAGTCAATGGACCACATTCCAATATAAAATAATGAATCGATTTTTTTTCCTTAAAAATATGAGACATTTTATATTTTTATAATATCAAAAATGTGGAGATGAATTTTAAAATGCTTAATGCAGTTGTAATTGGAGGTGTTTTGTACATTTTAAACACTAGCAGCAAAATTGATGTCTACAATATATTTTTTTTAGTTAACAAACTTGCTAATTTGAATTAATTTAAATTATAAATAAAGATATTGCTTGTAGTTTAGTGTACAAGTAAATTAAATGTGATACAATTGATATTAAATTATTACCTTCCTAATTTTGTTTTTGTTCAGAACCTAAATGAAAAAAATAAAATTAAAAATATTGTGAATCCTGGCATGCAATTAGTTTTTTAGTGTGCTAGACAGAATTACACCTTCGCCAAATACGTTAGCATTTTGGAACAACACAAGGCAAATTTTGGCTTACGATAAAAGGTGAGTACATTGACAACAATTAAACTTATAATTTGCTTTGCTGAATAAATAGTATAGCAATCATTGGCCTGCAAATTTCTTGAGTATGCTTGTATTGTTTGGGATACATTTTTTAAGACATTATACTGGTTGAATGAAGCGTAGGGCTATTAGAAACTTGTCATTTAAATCTGATGTTCTATTAGCCTTTTAGTACTGCTAAATTTAAATTAAAAAAAAAGCAACCTCATTGGAAAAATTCACAGGAGAACTTGCCAAATTGCATAACAATTTATTCGTTTATTAAGCTTTCTAGCGGTGTACCCTGTTCTTTAATTGCATTGATCCAAATGCAGAAATTGTATATGGAAAAAAGTGGTGATGGTGGGTTAATAAAATGGGATCGGGATTAATCTAGTAATTCCATTTTTGAGGTTGCAAATTTAGTTTTTTTATAAATTTTAAATTTTGAAGTTTTGCAAAAATTTAGTCTTTTTTAAAATTAAAAATTCAAAAAATTAATTGAAAGTTCTCGAAGGGTGCCTTCTTAAAGGAAATTTAATATTTTTTCAAGAACTACGAGTATATTTATGACAAAAACCTTAGATAGTTAAAAATAAAAAATGTTGAATATTTGTTAAAGGGTTGAGAAACAGACTTGGTTCATAAGGACTTTTTTTGCATTTGGGATATAGAAGCAGCACAAACTTTGTCGTATGAGTAGTGAGTGAATCACCCTGAATATTGATTTTGTAATTTTGTTCCTACCAATCATTTTATTATTCCTAACCTTGCCGATGAGTCTGAAATAAGAAGGTTGAGTCCCTGCGTATATACAGAATTACTGCAAACTCATTCTGGCTACAGCGTGGAAGGTGAGACCATTGTTGAAGCAGTGGTGACAGGTAGTGGTTCACTTGTAAACCACAGGTCATCCCATCACATTTTTTTTCTCTTACATTGTTTTCTTGTTTTAATTAGATTCCTTTATTTTAACAGAAGAATCTTTTTATTTTATCTGTTAATGATTGAAATTAAAATTCCTAAAAACACCCAAGGGCCATTTCGTGCACACCAAAAGCAAAACAGCCCATGCTCGGATTGAGCCTAGAAGATTTTCAGTTTTACCTAGGCTTAACCTACAACTGATTTTAACTGTTAAACTAATTTTTCTTAAATATTTTAGCTGTTATTAAGTAGAGCATCTTTCAATTTCTTTATTTGAATTTGTATTATGGCCAATCAGTACAGGTACATAATTATATGGTTTCCAGGCCGGATCAAATCTTCCCTAATCCTATTCACTGAACATGTTTATCATAAGCCAAAAATGGAAATCTCAATCTCTAAACATGATCTAATTCATCTTTAACCTTAACTCTACCTAACCTAACCCAGTAATGTGAAAATGATCACACACAAAACAATTGTGTTCGACCCAAACACATATTTATAATAAAAAAATTTCAATTTCATGTTATCATTTACTTACCCATCCCAAGCAGACTGTTACATTGACTATGGAATATAAATTTTTTATGTTTATTATTTATTACTCATACCTTAGAAACAAATATTGAGAAACGACTTTTTTTCTTTTATTACAAGATACAAAATATACAAAACCAAAAAGCCGAATGTTAAATGTGTAAAAACACAATATGTATTATGTACTCATAATATAAATAATTATAAGAATAATATATAAGATCCCGTTGATGTTGATGATGATGATAATTGATGGATCGTTTTGTGTGAGGGATGAAAAGCCCCGATCGAAAAATTCTAGAGAGATGGTCGTCTTCAAACGTGAACGATCGTGGCCTGAGCTGGCGGCGGCCCTTTGACCCTCAGGGCCGGTACCCCCGGTAAAAACAATAACAATAGAGAGAGACTTTCTCCAACGCTTAATGCAAAAAGAAAAACTTGACAACTTTGAAGATTTTCCTCAATTTAAAAAAAAGGATTAAAATTAATAGGGAAGGAAACGAAAATAAAATAAGGGCAGCTATGGCGTTAACATACCGCCCACCATATTTTATACGCTAAAATTTAGAACTTTCGGGAAACAGAGGGACGAGGCTGGCCGCCGATAGTTCGGATTCCCACCACACGAACTAAACCATCCTTTCCCGGGAAGACCTCAACTACCCGTCCTCGAAGCCACTTCAACGGAGGCGCATTGGGCTCCGTGATCAGGACGAGGGTCCCTACTGTGATTGTAGTGGCTGGAACGTTCCATTTGACCTTTTGTTGAAGACCGGCTAAGTAGTCGAGGCGCCAGGTCTCCATAATTCCACGCTACATTTCTGCAGAAATTGCCATCGAGAGAGGCGATTCCGGGAAGTATCCTGGAAGTGGGGTTCGGGGGCAGCGGCTAAGGGCGCACCAATTATAAAATGGCCTGGGGTCAGGATGTCATAACCCTCAACAGAATCAGACATGGGGCAGAGGGGTCGCGAATTTAACATATCTTCCACTCGACTGGCAATGGTAGTTAATTCTTCAAACGTTAGTGGTTGAGACTCTAATATTTGAACCAAATGATACTTCAGTGATTTCACGCCGTGTTTCACCGAAATGTGGCGCATATGGTGGGGTATGTATCCATTCAACTTCGCGAGAGGTTAATTGAGCGTTTAATTCATTTTCAGTTTGAGCCTCCTTCCACCATCTATACCATTCTTTCAGTCATCGAGCGGCACCAACAAAATTGGTGCCATGGTCCGAAAACATCTTGGAAGATAGACCCGACGGGCACTGAAACGATTAAACGAGGCCAGGAAGGCGTCTGTAGAAAGCTGAGACACTTCCTCTATATGGACAGCCTTTGTCAAGACAGATGAAGATGGCGAAATATGACTTTCTCACAGCAACTTTACGTCCCTGATTAGGAAGGGGCCCGCAAAGTCCACACCCCTGTTCAAAAATGCTCTCCCTTGAGAAAATCGAGAGGACGGTAAATTCCCAATGATTGGGATGGGATTCTTGGCCGATACTTGATGACAACGAAGGCACTTGCGTATCCTGGACCTTATGACGTTTCGCCCAGATACAATCCCATAACGCCGTCTAATTAAAAAATGGAGCTATTGGGGTCCTGCATGCAAATATAGACGGTGATAATGATACACCAGCAGATTGACAACAGCACAAAGTGTGATTGACGAGGCAGAAATAAAGGATGCCGCTGTTCATATCCTAATGGAGCATTAATTAAATGTCCGTCCACCCTAACGAGACCCACGGGATCGACAAAGGGAGATAATGATTTCAAGGTTGTTGGACAAGAGTTGGTTTTCAACCAAACCTCGGGAAAAGCGCATTTCTGTATTCAGCGTACCACCATGAATTGTGCATCCCGGAGTTCGACATGGTAAAAGGGCCTTGCTGGGTTTTGGAAATCCGACAGTTGTTCACAAATCGTCGTATATAAGTGTAAACGTGTAAGACGAGAAACAATAAACTGCTCAGTGCAATCATTTTGCCCGGTAGAGGAGACGTTTGCATAACTGCAAGTTGTTCTCTGGTAGAGCTGCTCCTATAGTCGGAGGATAGCTCAGTGGCCATTCGGGTCCTGACCACCATATTGAATAGCACACGAGTCCGGAGGGGCTGATTCCCCAAGAAGCAACGTCCGCGGCGTTGTGTTCTGAACCCACATGGTACCACATACTGACATCAGACAGCTCAAGAATGCGGGCAATTCTAGTATTGCATTTGGGTGACGTTGTGACATCCGAGGGGGGTTTAAAAAAGGGACAACGAGGTATTTTGATCTCCCTTAGTGTTGGAAGATCGGCGAAATAATTTTCCCATTGTTGAGAAAGGGTGGGTGGTCCCAATCCAAATGACTTTCCCATAGACGTTGCAAAATAGTTTTCGCCCAGAAAATAACTGGGGCTAGATATCCCAATGGATCATACATTCGGGCTAAGGTAGACATTATACCCCTCTTCGTGCTGACTGTTGGTTTAGTGTGAACCCGGTACGAAAGGACGTCTCTCTGTGGATCCCATTCCATCCCAAGAACTTTAAGTATAGGGTCCTCCAAATTCGATAGGGACACGGTACTCTCTGCCCCTGTAAGTACATCATCTATGTACATATGGTGGAGGATGGCCTTCGATGCGAGTGGAAAATCTTTTCCTTCATCCGAAACCAGCTGTTGCATCATTCGAAGGGCAAAGAAAGGCGAGCACGATAGATCAAAGGGGAGTCGATCAAATTGATATTCCTGGACGGCATCATTTTCCTGAAAACGATAGAAGAGATGTTGATAAGTCCGATGTTTTGGGGACAACCCAAATCTGTAAATACAGTTGATGGATATCAGCGGTCATTGCAATTCTTGGGATCCTGAACTTTAACAAGACCTCCCTGATATCCTGCTGCAGTTTTGGGCCAGTGTGTAAATAATCATTTAAACAGCCTCGACCTCCTGAAGCAGAAGCATCAAACATTACACGTAAACTAGTGGTAAAACTCTCTGATTACGCCATGATGTGGCAAATAACAATGCCCATGGCTGGGTTGCTGGAGAGAGATAACCTTTTGCAAGATAATCAAGAAAAACTTGGGAATACTTGGATTTCAATTCAGGTTCCTTCGCTAGGCTCTAACTTTCGAAAGCGATGTAACGTTACGGGCTTGAGATCTTCTAGACCTAGGGGTTCTTCTTTAAACGGTACTTGTACGCAGTAACGACCCAACCAATTTCGGGAGTGGGTTTCACGAAAATGAGATTCGCATTGACTATCGGGACTGTTGGGTGATGATACATGTGAGATCTCATCTATTTCCCAAAATTTGGATATTAATTGTGTTAGATCGCTGAACTTGTCCGATGGGGTGGTACAACTAAATAGGGTGGAACAAGCTTGCAATGGTTTGGGAGAAATGGGACCAATCAAAATCCAGCCGAATATAGTGTTCATGCTTTGAGAGTATCGGGTCTGAGCGTCTGGATCTCGCCCATCCAAATGTCAGGAAAGAGATCGGCTGCTAACAAGAAATCAACTGGGCCAGGTCGATGAAAATTGGGATCAGCCCAATCCAAGTCCTTCGAATTCTGGACTATCTCATGGGGAACGGGCGTAGAAGGCATGTCAGTACTTATAAAATCCATTGCAACAGCCTGGGTGTTCAAATGTGGAGCAGAATAATCGGTGGAGGACATCACACAATTCACTTGAAACTTCCCACCTGAAATCGGGTGGCCTCCAAACCGGATTTATTTGAAGAGGCAAGGCTAATCGTCTAGCGCAGGTCGACGTGATAAAGGATCGCTGAGACCCGCTGTCTATCAGGGCCCTTACGGTTTGAAATGTCCTTCGTGATCCCGAATATGTAAAAGGACTCCCAAGGAGAACGTTCATTGGTCCCTGAACGTTTGAAGTTAAAATCGCATGCTTCGAATTCCCAGTTTTATAGGAATGATCTTCGAATGGGTCGGTTATGTCTTGAGTGGTTTGAGAAGTGAAAGAACCCCGGGGGCAATTCGACTGTGTGTTCAGTACTGTAGAATCCGTCCTGGTCTTTTCCGTGCGTCTGGAAGTATTGAGAGTGTCTGCTTTAGATGGAAAGTGAAGTAGGGTATGATGTCTTTGACGACAATGTCGACAAGTAAGACTGGAGGAACATTGAACGACGGAATGTCCAGAATCGAGACAGTTCAAACAACGTTTCATAATTTTATTTTTTCAAATCTAGCAGACGGGGATAGGGAACGAAAATTAGGACAATCAAATATTCCATGAGGATTTTTACCTATAGGACACGTCAAAGCATCCGACGAGGCATTAACCGACAATGAAATCTGTTTGGGTCCTTAATTATATCGCGCATCTAATGAACTCGATTGAGATTTAACGGTGGTAGTCAATGAAGAAGATTGGAGTTGGATGATTTGTTAATGAACGAAGTCGGAGAAGTCAGCTCAAGTGGGAGGTTCGGAATGAGACCCGAATTCTGACTCGAATCGTTCACGGGACCGAGTATCCAATAATCTCATAGCGAATGTGGTTAAAATGAAACCAGCATGATCGGTCAAATGGAGCTTAAAAAATGAGGTTGCGCTTTCCATCACTTGAGAGGCAAATACCTCCAAATGTCGCTTGTTACTTCTTATTCTCGTATTTCTTATTGAGTGCCTCCCAAGCTTGTTTATAACCCTGGGCTGACAGTCCAATGGTCGCGACAATTTGCGCGGCGGGTCCCTACAACGACGACTTAAGGTGGCATTCGGCTAGCAGTCCAAACGGAGCGACGCCGTTCCAAAAACCACATCAATGGCAAAACTGAACTGGCGTGCCGGGCTGGGCCGAATATTCGACCGGTCCAAACTCCATCGCGCCACTCCAAATATTTACGGAAATTCAAATATCTCTATCTATCTATCTCTCTACTATTAAGGTAGAGGAATCGCTCTATATCGTTTAAACTCTCATTCTCGAAAAGTGTCACGGAACGAGGGCCAATCGCAAATACGCCCTGAGAAGGAGAGGATATTGATAAACGGGAGTCGTAAATTATTGTGATTTTCAGTTGTATTTCCATTGGAAATCTTTCCTCTCCTGGTCAAAACCGGATGGGTACTACCCAATGACAAGGCTTCATAAAAGGCAGATCTCACCCAGCCTTGAGCCTAATCCAATAAAGGGATATTGAAGGATTTGGAATACTGCCGAATTCGATTAAAAACCTCTAAAAATTTGTCATGTGTGGAATCCAAGCGGGATAAGCGGGCATTGAACAAAAGAGATTGTCCGTTATCCTATGGGGTTTGAAGTCCTAAGAGGTTAGTCTCCAGAATATCTTCGGCCAGATCCGCCAGCTCATCCTTAAGGGCGTCTAACTCGCCCTCCATCTTCTCCCGGGCTTCAAATTCAGCATCCATGGTGGAACAAATATGGGTAAGAAGAAAGGAAATGGATTCGACAAGTTTTTTTTCCTTTCCTCTCCTCCTCCTCGACAAACGACAATAGATCCGGCCCGGAGGACCACTTTATGTTGGAGAGGGGGGTGCTCGTCTTTCTCGCACTGCCACCCCTCCGTTTCAACAATGCCGTTTACCGTCGCTGGAGAAAAGGGGAAAAAGAAAGCGTTAAAAAATATAGAAACGACGTAAATTTAACTATTAGGAAAACTATGAATTTATTGAAGAAATGATCTTGACAAGAATCGAGCAACAAAGACAAAAGAGAAATTGAATGGAGAAACTCTCCCTGTACGATACAAACAATACATTACAAAAAGTTTTGTGTTCTCTAGCATGCAAACAAATATATGTACCTGCAGGTTAAAATTACTTAACACTTAAAATAGTGATTCCTTTTATAAAATAAATCAAATTATAATATGTCCTAGAAAAGCAGATTCGAGTTAAATATGAATCCACCTGGGTACGACGAAATTTTCACGAGGTAGGCGAAATGTCCTTTTTTGGCCGGATTTTCACGACTCAGACTGGAACTACTGCGATATCCTGACGAGACGGTCGTGGATTCCTCAACCACCGTTTTCGGTTGAAAACATCTGCTACCACGATCCCGTGGTTGTTGATGATGATGATAATTAATGGATCGTTTTGTGTGAGGGATGAAAACCCCCGATCGACAAAATTCTAGAGCGATGATCGTCTTCAAACGTGAACGATCGTGGACTGACCCTGCGGCGGCTCTTTGACCCTCCGGGCCGGTACCCCCGGTAAAAACAATAACAATAGAGAGACTTTCTCCAACGCTAATGCAAAAACAAACATTAAAACTAAATTATGGATCCTTTCTTCTTTTACTTCGAAGATTTTCTCAATAAAAAAGGGATTAAAATTAATAGGGAAGAAAACGAAAATGAAATAAGGACAGCTATGGCGTTAACATACCGCCCACCAAATTTTATACGCTAAAATTTTGAACCTTCCGGAAACAAAGGGACGAGGCTGGCCGCCGATAGTCCGGATCCCACCACCCGAACCAAACCATCCTAGCATAATAGTAAACAAAAAGTAAAAAAACTGTAAAATAAGTTTTGACTAGTTTTAAGTTTTAGTGTCAGAGAGCCAATAGGATGCTTGGTGGATCTCAGCGCATTACGACGCTAAAGGAGGACAGAAATATTGTCATTGCTGTACGACTGAACACTTTCCATAGTCTACAAGGTTTTGGCAAGGCCTTTATCAGCACAAATGATTTTTAATCGTTCGTGAGATGTTGGCCTCACATTGTATGTTCCTGTGAGACGACCGGCAAGAGCACGCTGCCAGCAACTGAGGAGAATAAGGTGCAGCGAGCGCCTAGAAGAGAACACCAATCGGGATGCTGTTGCTACTGATGAGTAGCGGTTCTGTCGGTAAGTGATAGAAGGCGCCGTAGAGTTTACGGAGAACAGGGGATGCGCACGCCCCATTTCGTGCTCCCTTCAGTGCAGTTTGGAGGAGGCGGTGTTATTGCCTGCCACCAGCTACTCAGGAGAATATAGTGCCTAGAAGAGAATACCAATTGGAATGCTGGTGTTTACTGATGAGCCGTGTTTCTGGCTGTAAAGTGATAACAGGTGCCTAAGAGTCTACTGAGATCAGGGGATGCGCACAATGACCCAGTTCGTGCTCTCTTCAGTGCAGTTTGGAGGAGGCGGTGTTATTGTCTGGGCTGGGATTTACACTGGAGGACGAACTGGGCTTCATATTGTTGAAGGCAACCTCACGGCAGTCCGTTATGTCTAAGAAATTATCGAGGAATATATCCCTTAAACAGGGATCTCATTGGCAAGGATTTTCGATTTCTGGATGACAATGCCAGACCTAATAGAGGCAGAGTTGTTCATCAATGTTCAGAAACTTGAAAATTTCCAATCTACCCCTTCCTCCATTGTCTCCAGCCCTCAATCTCATTGAGCACATGTGGGATTGCAGAGAAGGCTTTTCGATCATCAGCCCCAGCCAGTTGACCTGCAACAACTGAGTGCAGCATTCCAACATAGATGGACGGAAATTCCTTATGGAATTAGTGACAACCATATACCAAAAGTATGCCTAACAGGTGCTCAGAGGTTTTAGCTAACAGACGACATTATACACGGTATTAATTATTTAAAAAATTATTGTGTCCAATAAACAGAATTATGGACCTTTTATTTGACATTTTTCAAAATCCTTTCATTTAATTTTCCTTCAGTGAAAAATAATTTCTAATAAATTTTAATACAATTTATAATAAACATAAAATAAAAAGGCTAAGGAAAGTAACTACTACAAAATTGGCAATACTCTATTGATTTGTGAGCAGTTTAGATTTGGGTATCGTCAGCATATAAGTGAAATTAGGAGTTATTTAAACAAGAAGGGAGGTCGTTAATAAAATGGAGTTGCAGAATTCTTCCGTTCGGACTGGTTAGAGCTGCGGCGTATTGAGCCGAAGGTCGTGGGTTCGAATCCTGCTTGTGACACTTTTTCATCTCATCCAAGACCTAGATAAAAAGTATAATTAATTAATAAAGTAGAACGTTGAAGACTATGGATAAAACGTAGACGTAATTAGTAGTTTTAATCTAGTCAAATGCCCCCCTGTGTTTATTTATTGTACTCTCGGTGCCCCCTTTGTTTATTTGTTGTACTTTCGGTTTTGTTTAGTTTTGTAGATAGTAGTTGAGCGACTTGGACAAAAGAACAACTATTAGACGATTGGAAAAGAGTGGGAGAGAGATAATTGAGATACGGCCGAAATGTCAGGTCGTTCGGCTAGTCTGAGTATTAAAGATGAAACGATCCACCGGCTCACCATGGATCTAACCGTCACGTTATTGTTCGCCACTTGCATCTCCTTCACTTTCTCTGCTAACTGCGGATACGAGGTAAAATCCTTCACTTCACTGATTTTTTAAACTACTTACCAAAAAAAAACATGTTAGGCAGAATGTACATACATTGAATATATCACAACCAGGCGAAAAATCGTTAACAGGACAAATATGAATCATATATTTTATGTTTTATACAACTTTAAGTTTTATATTTAGTAAACCTTCAAGTTAATGAATAGAATTTTTCTATTTAAACATAATTAAGTGTTAATTAATTTGAAGTCGTGAGGAGCGGTCAAGGATAAGGTAGTTTAGAAAAACACATTTTTCATTTTTTTGCCGACGTTTCGACCTTTCTTGGATCATCTTCAGGGCATAAAGTATGGTGGTAGTCTTGAGCTGTCATATTGGTTTTGTGTGAAAGTGTTGTGAAGAGAGGAATAATATAATTAAGTGTATTTAACTGTACATTTAGCTAGAAAACAATTTCTTTTGGGTTAAATAGAAAAAAACTATTAATAAATTATTTCAAGTTTAAAAGTTAAAATTTTCTGGGCAAAAATTTATTTCGAATAATATTATTACAAAAATGGTGCTTGGTACCTTTCTCGAAGGTATTTAAATTGTGATTCTTTTAGGGGGTAGCGACCATTTTTTGGACGAACTACTATTTTCCCCACCCAATTTCTTTAATATCACTTCTACCAATAAGATTTTAATTTTATGACGCATTTCTTTGTCAAAATAGTTTACTTCCTGTTTAAGCATCAAATTCTGAAATTTGCATTTTGAGAAATATTTAGTCATTTTGTTATCCAAGAAGAGGCTCAAAAGTTGCCATTTTTTCGGCAGTTTTCTCAAAATCTATTTGCAAGGGGAACGACCAGGTTGGTGGGTCACGGATTTGGAACAAACTTGTTTTGGTGATACTACACTCCAACTTGTTTTTTTGAAAATTGAAATTTTTTAATATTTTTATGTCGCCTTTCTTTTTGCTAAATCAACTATGTGAATATAATTATTCAGAAATCGTGAGATGCGGTCTGGTGTGATGTTGGTTTCAGAAAAACATTTTCTTTATCGTGTCAACGTTTCGATTTTTATTGAGATCATCTTCAGGGCTCAATAAAGATTGAAACGTTGGCACGATAAAGAAAATGTTTTCTGAAGCCTACATCACACCAGACCGCATCTCACGATTTCTGAATAATTATCGATTAACGGTCACTAACCACCACACATTTCTATATGAATATATCATTTTACGGCATTTTTTATGTAGATTGCAACAAAAATGTGGTTATTAAAAGCTATCAAATTGCCAAAAAATTGCTAATAACCAAATATTTTTTTTCATGAAACTAATATGAAATTTCATTTTAGGACCTCTAGAGACCCCTAAATATAAATTTTTGTTTTAATTTAAATTTATCGATTTTTTAGCTCATAAATTTTTCCGATTTTTGAGAAATCATTATTGGAATATCTCACTGAAACGACTATAATTCAAAAACGGCTAAAAGGATTTTACCGTCAAACAAACCATTTGAAAGAAGAGGAACGTAGCTTTTTAACGACGTATGTACCATAAAAATATATAAAATATTTCTATAAGAAAATACACAGAACAGGAAAATTATTTGTCAGAAATTAACCTCGTTTTTAAATGGAAATAATAGTCCGAGTTTAATACAGTTATAAAATGAACATAATAGTTTTTTCATAACAAATTATCAAACATGAAAATTGGTTTTCTAGGTTTTGAGAAAAATGATGTTATAGCTTTCGAGGTCGTCGAAATTATCGGACAAAAATAAATTTACTCCGATTTCTGCGAAAGTCTGTAACTAAGGATTTTATAACGCTAAATCATAACTATAAGGTAAAATCGAAATTTTGACCATTTTCTGACTTACTTTGCTTACAGAATGTTTATTAAAATACGCAAAAAAAAGGAATAATTTGTTGATTTATCTTTTTAAATCATAACAAATTAGAAAATTCTGCATAGTAGAACATTTTTGTTTTTATGTTGATCAACAGTGATATTAACACACCAAAAATAATATTTTTTAAATTTTGATGATTTATGATCATTTAATTAAATTTACTTCGTACCTACAATTTTTATTAATATTTTGATTTATACTATACAAATAAATAAATTCATTAATCCAGAATTATATTTGGTCCGTCCTGTCGAGGATTTTGACTTGAATTTTGTTGAGAAGCGAGGACCTAGGAGACGATTTTCATAGTCGATAATTCGTTTTAAAGATATTGTCAAGTGCATTTTATAACTGTATCAAACATTAAAATCGGATTATTACTTCCATTTAAAAAAAATGGTTCTTATAGAAATCTTTTATATATTTTTATGGTACATACATCATTAAAAATCTATTCCTCTTCTTTCAAATGGTATGTTTGATGTTAAAATCCTTTTAGCTGTTTTTGAATTATAGCCGTTTCAATAAGATATTCCGATAATGACTTCTTAAAAATCGGAAAACTTTTAGGGGTAAAAAGTCGATAAATTTAAATTCAAACAAAAATTTATATTTAGGGGTCTCTAGAGGTGCTAAAACGAAAATTCATATATAGCATTTTTCAGTCAAATGAAACTTTTTTCAAGCAAATGAAACCTTTTCCCAAGCAAATGAACCTTTTTTCAACCAAATGAAACCTTTTTCCAAGCAAATGAAACCTGTTTTCAAGCAAATGAAGCTATATATGGCTTCAAAAATAGCTTCATTTGCTTGAAAACAGGTTTCATTTGCTTCGAAAAAGGTTTCATTTGATTGAAAAAAGTTTCATTTGGATGAAAAAAGGTTTCATTTGCTTGGGAAAAGGTTTCATTTGATTGAAAAAAAGTTTCATTTGATTGAAAAAAGGTTTCATTTGGTTCAAAAAAAGTTTTATTTGACTGAAAAATGCTATAGTTTCACAGCAAAAAATTTAATGACCTAGTTTACTTGAAAAATATTTGGTTTTTAAATTTTTTTTATTTTTATTATTGATAAAGTTTTATAGCTTTTACAATATTTTTATCGCAATCTACATAAAAAAATAGTTGATTTGAGCACGTAGAAAGGTGGAAAAAAACTAAAAAACAGAAAATTTCAACTTTCAAAAAAACAATGTTTTTTTTTTGCAAACTACAAAAACAACTTGACTATTCATAAGAAATGGCAGATTTTGGAGTGCCGAATCACCAAAAAAAGTTTGGTCTGAATCCGTGTCACACCAACCTGGTCGTCCCCTTGTTCATATATTATGACCAATGTTTATAGTTTACAGTTCTGATGATGGAGCTCCATCAAAGGTACAAGGACCTCGAAAAAACAGTTAAATTTTTGATGTTTTATTTTTCTTAGTATGCCATATTTTTTTAAAAATAATCAATGGTTAATTTTTACAATAAAATATAGTTATGACAAACTTTTACGCACTTTTTTACACAGAAAATATTTCTCTGCTATTGTTTTAAAACTATTTACTGCTATAATTGTTTGCCTATTGCTCTACAAACAAAAATTAAATAAATACAAATGTTTTAATAATATGATTTTTTTTATTTGGGTTTCAAAATTGTGTCTGCTGGTAAATTAAAGAACTGAGTTTGAAAATTTTTCCATCACAGATAACCAGGTCTCTGTTTTTGCAATGGTAATAACATGATATGTGTATTATCTGATTCTTTTTGCCTTTGGTTACATGACAGAGCAGAATGACACAATTTTTAGATAGCTAAAATGTTCTCATTTACATCACACATAAATTTTAGCTCAATATTTTTTGTTAAAAATTTTTAAAGTGTGTTAATCTCAAAATGCTCACAAATGACATTTTCTTATTGGCTTCTGTAACACAAGAAAATTCAAATGATTCTCTCAATAGGCCTGGCAAATATTGATATTCGAGTGGATAATGATAATGATAACAGAAATATCAATGTTATCTACTAGTTTTTTTATTATTATTTTTTATTGTGTTTATTATTAACCAATGCATATTATAAAATCAATTTCTTACTACGAACAGTATTCTACCGGTAGATTTAAAAAAACAAACATTAAATACTTTGTTTACTAAAGTGAAATAGCTCAAAAGACATGAAAACTGCAAAATCGAAAAGTATAAATAACTATTTGTCTGCCCAATTACAAGAATAAGATAAAAAAAATATTAGCTGGTTTTAGACGATGCCAAAAAATTGAAAGAGACTGTAGAAGCAGCATAGGACGATTGAAATAGCTAGATGGATGTCACAGAATCTGGAGAATTTTGATCTATTGAAAAAATAATTATTTTATACTTGGGTCATGGTCTGTTCTTGATTCAACAAGACGGGCCAACTCTGAATCATTTTTATTAGAAACAGAGCCCCAGAGTTCTTGATCTAACCTGAATACAACCGATCAAGTGCCTTTTTATAATAAAATTTAATACAAGTTTGAAAATAATTTATTAATTACACAATAACAATTTAAATCAACTAATTTTCTTTTAAATTTTAAACAAACAATTTAAACTCTTCAAATTTAAATAAACAGTAATTTCATGCAAAACGTTTGCCAGACCGTTTGGAACAAGGGTGGATGGGTACTCACTGTTTACAGTCAATCTGTTGTGTACCGCAGCACTCTATTTTAGGGAATCCAACACTTTTTAAATTCTTTTCAGGATCGCACACTTCTTCATCTTCACGGAATGGACTTGTTCACTTCTAGACTCGACTGTCTCTACCCTCAACCTCTCGATCCTATCTAATTTTTGTTCTAGGCCTAAACATGAAATCTAAATCACAACATTGTCACTTTGAAATAAATTGAAATGTGACACTTGTGTAATAACAATAAAGAATAAAGTAACAATAAAGAAAATTGATTAACTTACACAAAGAAACTTGCTGATGAATGGGATGGCGTTTTGTGATTCAGGACCATGCAGAACCTGATGTGACAGAGAGGACTCATTCTACCCAGTCACAATCCTGGTGAACTTTTAAATAAATTGTAATTTTGTTTATAGGATTTTTTATAAAATTTAGAAACACACACTTAGACACACCTAGAGGCCATTTGCACACCAAAAAGCTGGTACTTAGATCCAGAGTTGAATGAGAGGTACAAAGAAATACCTGATAGAAATGGCTGGCAATAACCAAGAAGAAAAGGTCGAAACAATAAAAGAAAGAAATCAGAAAAATACAAAGAAACAATTCAGGAGTAAAGCAAAACCAATCAGTGTTTGTCAGAAATGTATATTTAATCGATAATATTCCTATTAAATAATTAATATAAAACTAAATATTATCCAACTGATATTCTATTATAATATCAAAATAAACTAGTACAATGATGAAAATAATAATAAATTCAAATTTTAAAGTTTTTTATTTATTTTCAGAGCTGTCCAGAGACAAGTGATAAGTACATAAACATACATTTAGTTCCACACACTCATAATGATGTTGGATGGCTCAAGACACCCGATCAGTACTACTATGGAGGTATTTATTTTATTTCTATATAATTTACATTGTCAAAAATAACAAATTCTTTGAATATTTAGGTCAATAGATTTTTGTAGATTAATTTGGACAAGCGATTAGTGTGTGTGAGGGGCAAATAGTGGTTCTAAGTTTGATTCTCACCTTTCCTATATCAAAAAAATCAAAAACAGCATGCAAAACAATTCTACCTTCTGCGTATTAATGGTCAGTTTTAAATAATTTTCTTCTGTGGAGGAATGTCGATTTGTTTGTGTGTTTGACATGGCAGAGTTTTTTCCCCTGTCTCCTTGCAGACTTTACTCATTCAGTGTTTGTTGGCACCAGATAAATAAAAAATGAGGTCATATTTTCAATGAAGGAATGGTGTTTCACAGGAGTCAGTAATGGGGCCCTTGCTGTACTTATTTTATAAATGACCTTATGGGACCACAGCAGCTGAGTGGTGAGGGGGTCATATTAGCCAAGCTACCAGCGTGAGTTCAAATCCCAGCACAGCCCATGAAATATAAATCGATAAAAGAATAATGTAAAACAGTTTAAGCCTCATTCATGACATACAATGGCTAGTTGGACATTCTCTAGTTGTCTTATGCTATAAAAGTATCTTAGATAGCCTGTACTGCTGCAAAATGGTTTGGATTCTATGCTACAGCTTATTTTTGAGCAAAAGCTTATTGTTCGATTTCTTGATCCTTTTAATCTTGTTTTGCATTTTTTAACAGCTCTTAAGCTGATTACAATAAAATGATCTTTTACTTGCATAAACTTTTGCCTGAACGATACTGGTGTACATCACCTTATTTTTAGTTTTGAGGCTAATGCCCCTTTGCCTTCTCGTGGTTTTGATGTTTAAACCAATATTAAACATTGTATTTATTTTGTTTGGTAGCTTTTTTTGGTAACTTTTTAAAACATTTTAAGGTTAATTTGTAAATGTTTTTTTAGTGAACAATTCTATTCAAGATGCTGGTGTGCAGTATATTTTAGATTCTGTTGTTCAAGAGCTTCTTCAAGACAGCAGTAAAAAGTAAGTAGGAAAAATATCTTGTAAGACATGTCAAAAAATGAAATAATAATTTCCAGGTTTATTTATGTTGAGACATACTTTTTCTGGAAATGGTGGCAAGAACAGACAGATGCGATGAAACAACAAGTCAAGGAATTGGTTGACAACGGACAATTGGAATTCATTGGTTCGTTTATAAAGTAAACAATGCAAATCATGTAATTTTTTTTAATACTTTAGGTGGTGGTTGGTCTATGAACGATGAAGCTACAACCCATTATCAGTCAATAATTGATCAAATGACGTGGGGATTCAGGTAAAAATTATTGCCAAATTTTTTCGACGTGTTTTGAATTTTGAAATTTGGTAGACGCCTTAATGATACTTTTGGCAAATGTGGCCGACCTAAAGTAGGATGGCAGATCGATCCTTTCGGCCATTCAAGGCAGAATGCTGAAATTATGGCAAAGATGGGCTTTGACGGTCTCTTTTTTGGAAGAATCGACTGGGAAGATAAACTTTCACGGATGATGCAAAAGTCAATGGAAATGCTGTGGAAAACTTCAAGAAATGATGATAGTAAGAATGATTTTAAGGTTAAATGAATATTCATTATTTTTAATTTTATTTCAGCTGAAATGTCGACTCTTTTTACTGGAATTCTATACAACCTATATATCTCACCAAAGGGATTTTGCTTTGATATTAAATGTGACGATGAACCAATAGTTGATAATGTCAAATCCCCTGAGTACAATGCAAACAGAAAGGTTGGTATTCTCTGTTAATTATTAACCAAGATCAACCAAAAGTTTTTGTGTTGTGTAATTAAGTAACACTCCTTCACACTGATATCTTGTCCAGTCTTCACACAATGAGAAGTTCTCGGGGCCACTTTCGCTTCAATCGTCCTGGAGGATTTTCAGGTAGAGTTGGAAGTGATAAATTTCGTACGAATAGATTACTATGTGTGTTCAGTGATTGATGAAGTTTTTTATATCGGGTTTTCATGAGTTCATGTACAAACGGGATGTGTAGTTCTTTATGGATAGTGTAATTTGAAACGTAAAAGGAGCATTTATAATTTGACGGAGAATTTTAGATTGGATTGATTAGAGCTGGGAATTGGAATGCTTGGTTGAGCCCCACACTTCACAACCATTGCCCAGAGAGGTCTAATCATTGTCTTGTAAATTAAAAGTTTATTTTCAAGGTCTAATTTTGATCGTGAGTCGAGTAGTCTTTTTAACAATTTATAACGTCGGTTTGTTTGCTGTCTTTTCAGTCTTGTATGGGGATTCCAAGTCAGTCGTTTATCCATGAAAAGTCCAAGATAACGCACAAGGTCAGTGGTAGGCAATGGAATTCCATTTATATTCACCGCAGGACAGACATTTTTACGTAAGGTAAAATTGATCTGTGTGCTTTTTGTTAGGTTTACCTTTATTCTCCACTTTGTGAACCATATTGTTAATGCATTCAGGTGTTGTTGTAAGTGTTGAGTGTTAATTGAGGGGTCCGAATTGCGTGTAAGAATCGCTGTATCATCAGCGAATGTGTGTGTCAAAATGTTAACGTGTGTAGGAATATCTACAGTGTGCATGGAAAATAGAAAAGGGCCAAGTATGCTTCCCTGAGGAACACCCGCCCTTATGCGTATATAAGGGGAGAATTCAGTTCCCTCGACAAAATCGATCCGTCAGATAAGATCTCGGTATAAGATAGTACGTATGAGGGAAGATGTTCCTCAGTTTCCAACGGAAGCCCGAGTACCAGACTTGATCGAAGGCCTGTTCTATTTTTTTTTTTTTTTTTTGACTTGACATACATACATTTGACATGATTTAACACTTGTTCATCAGGTTGGAGAATTTCTTTACTTAATGAAGACATACAGTAAAAGTTACAATACAAGGAATGTTCTTGTTACAATGGGGGAAGATTTTGTGTACATGGATGCGCATATGTATTATAAAAACATGGACAAATTGATTAGGTATATTATAGATACTAAATTTTATGAACGGATATAAAAAAATGTAATTGTAATCTTTTAGGATCATCAATAGCATCGAAGGGCCCAACTCTCCGTTTCGGGCATTTTACTCGACTCCGTCTTGTTATCTGAAGAGCGTAAATGACGCCGGTGTAAACCTTCCGCCAAAACTGGACGATTTCTTTCCATACTCCAGTGATTCAAATTCATTTTGGACCGGGTATTTTACGTCAAGACCAGCCCTTAAAGGCTTTGAGCGTTTAGGAAATAATTTTTTGCAGGTGATAATTGTAAATTTAAAAATGATTGTATATTTCATAGTTTATGTAAGAAATAATGAAAATATGTATCTAATTTAATTAAGTTATTAATGTACTGTTAAGTTATTAATTATTAAAGTTATTATTAACTTTTCAATTTAAAAATGTTGATAATGTTCTTTTTCAGGTGTGTAAACAACTTTATTCACTTTCTGAATTAGGATATGAATTCAGAAGTAATTTGATATCATTGAGGGAAGCGATGGGCGTGATGCAGCATCATGATGCAATAACCGGCACAGAAAAGCAGCACGTTACTTCTGAATATGCGAGAATTCTGACAAATGGTATCAAAGACTGTGAAGTAGTGACAAAACATGCACTTGGGTATGTCAAATTGGTTTTATAATAATATAAGATTTTAACATGTTTGATTAATTAGAAAACTGATGAAAAATGGAGGCGTAGTCGATTTACAATCCTGCCTTCAATTGAATGTCAGTTCATGTCATGTTTCTGAAAACAGCGACTCATTCGTCGTTACACTTTACAACCCATTGTCTCGTTTTGTCGACCGTTTGGTTAGACTTCCAACAAAAGATGTGAAGCAAAGTTATTCAGTAAAATGTCCAATGGGTAAAAAAAAAATCATAGTTAAACATGTTTTGAATTTATTACTTATTGAATTTATTTCAGGAAAAGAACAACTGACACAAATTGTCCCAATTCCTCCATCTGTAATTCAAATCCCTGGGCGGAATGGCTTTGCTTTGGCTGAGCTTGTCTTCCTTGCCAAAGGCATCCCGCCATTAGGATATAAGTCATACTATATATCAAAAACAAGTGAAAACATCTCATTTTCTTCTGAGATGTTACCCAAGACTAGATTTCCAATAGAACTCGGCTTTGATGATGTTTGTTATTTCAAATTCATTCATTTGAAGAAGAAATTCAAAAATAAATAAATTTCCAGGGTTTAAAACTGAAAATGACTTCAAGAGGGCATCTCAAAGGTGTCAAAGATATGACAAACAAAAAGGAAACTACATTATCACAGAGTTTCGCTTATTATGTAGGAGCTGTAGGAAATAATGAAATCAATTACAATAGATCTTCAGGAGCTTATATTTTCAGACCAAACAGTTCTCATATTTTGATTAATTCCCAACCAAAGGTTACCATCTTCTCAGGTAAGTTTCCACTTTACGGACAATTATATTATATATTAAATCATCAAATTTGAAAATCAGAATAGTCATACATTAAAAAAAAGAAATAGTAAGACAAAATTACATAAATAAAACTCTAAGGTTAAGATTAGAATGAGTCATCTTCTTTACTACCTTGAGCATCGTGACTGGTTATTGTACAATCTGTTTGTTTGTAGTTGTTTAGTGCTCTTTGTTAAGCTTAAGGCTTTTTATCAGATCCTAAAGTTTTATAAGAGCTTCAATGTGTACTGTTCAAACCTTGGGGTTTCCACTTCCAGGAGTAGAAATCTCAGCATGCAAGAGAGGATGCTCTGTTGTTTCTTTGTCTTCATAAATCTACACTGGCTTGTGTCTTCTATAGTGGCAGTATCCAGCCAGCAGTACTATTCATTCTAGTCCTAGGTTGAGTAGTTTTTCTATTAGTTTCTGCAATGGTCCTTAATTTTTTTTCACATGTCTCTGCCCTGGAATACAATCTCATTCAAGGGATTCTCAAAAGGGTTCAGGGTTGTTGGTGTCCTTGTTTAATTTTCCTTGGTCAAATTATCAGTTCCTTCATTGCTCTTCTGCCCTGAATGGTACACAAACAAGGGTTATTTTGTTGAAACTCCTTCTCTTTTTATTTTGATTTTTACTAAATTCATCATGTGATGGGGGTATTTATTAAACTACACAACCTTCTTAAACTTCAACAAGTCTTGAAAAGAGGTACTGGCATTGGTTCCAAAATATTTATACACAATAAAAAATAAAACGAAGAAAGTGGTGGTGAAGTACAATATCTAACCTAACCTAACCCAATCCAATCTAACCTAACCCTGATAATGCAAAATCAATCGTCAGAGATTTGTTGTTAATTTTTTTCATTATTGGAAGGATTAAAATTACATTGTCTGGTCATCTTATTCTTTGACGATTAGATGTGTTTTGGCATTTTGCTATTATCAGTGGTGGGTTTTTGCTCGAAGATAATGGTGATGAAATAATGCTAGCAAGAAAAGGCAGACCTGGATGATAGGAGATTTTTAAACTTTATCTCCTTCCAGACTTTAACAAGAACTTTCACAATTATATGATAAACACATCATAAGCAAGTTTCAAATTCATAAATATTAAAAACTTTATTTGCCTTTTTTACTGAATATGTCCCAATAGGTCCCTTTAGGCTTAGTTGTATCAACAGAAAACAGTTGTCATAAAATTATTATAATATATAAAATGTTTTAAATAAATTCAATAATTTTGATTGTTTTATAGGACCTCTTCTTGCTGAAGTACAACAAGTTTTCTCGAATTGGCTCAGTCAGATAATAAGGATATATAATGGAGGACGATATGTTGAATGTCAATGGGCTGTCGGACCAATACCAATTGAGTAAATTTTTTGACTAAAATTTGATAACATATTTAAAAATTCATTAACATTACAATATTATTCAGTGATCAAAATGGCAAAGAAGTTGTCAGTTCATACCACACAACGACTGTTCACAATAATGGTCAGTTTTACACTGACTCAAATGGTAGAGAATCTCTATTGCGAGTCTTAAACCAAAGACAGACTTGGCGTCCGATAATTTTGGAACCAGTTGCTGGAAACTATTATCCAGTGACTACCAGGATTTCTATTGAAGACGATAATAACTATTTTAGTGTAATAACAGACAGGGCAGAAGGAGGGTCAAGCTTGAGTGATGGAACTGTCGAACTTATGGTAATTTATCTTATTATAAGTATTTTCCTTTTCAAACTTGAGCTTAGATTCATAGAAGACTGCTTCATGATGATGCCTTTGGAGTGGGTGAAGCCCTTAATGAAACCGCCTTTGGAGAGGGTCTTGTCGTCAGAGGAAGCCATTATTTATCACTTGGCAACAACGGACAAGCAAGATTATTGGTGCAGGAAAAAGTTTTAAACAGTTGGATGTTTTTTACGCCAACAGATATGAACTTCGAAGACTGGCAATCTTCATATAACATGGAGGTGAACTTTTAACTAATTAAATTTTCTAAATGTAAATTATAATTCTAACTTTAGTACTCAGGGCTTAATTCAGCTTTACCGGACAACGTGCAGATTCTAACTTTAGAGCCTTGGTCTGAAACTTCATTCTTATTAAGGCTTGAGCACATCATGGAAAAAGATGATGATCCTGAACTCAGCCAACCCGCCAGCGTGGATCTTAATGTATTTAAAAAAATGAATACAAGCAAGGGGTTAAAAATAATTAATTTTTTTCTTAGGATTTATTTACACACTTTGCAATCACAAGTGTCGAAGAGATGATGCTTGGAGGAAACATGAAACGTGAGGAGTCACAAAGGCTTCACTGGAACTCAAAACTGAATTATAAGAAAAGGCATGTAGTTAAAAGCAACATCATTGATTTGAATCCAATGGAAATACGGACTTTCATTATAGAAATGAAACCAAGTACAAGATTCCGCCAAATGTGAAAACTGTCAGTTCCTTACACTTTCTTTTTAAAAAAATTGTAATAAACTTTTGTATAAATAAAACCATAATTAAATTGTTTTTAGTTCATTATAATTTGTTTGAAATTACAATTTTACTGTGTGTGGTGTTTAGTGACTGTTAGCCAATGATTATTTGGAGATCGTGAGGTGCACTCTGGTGTGACATAGGTTTTAGAAAAACATTTTCTTTATTATGCCAAATTTTTAAATCTAATTTTTTTATCATTGTATATATTTTTTTAATCTAAAATTTTATATCATTGTATATATTTTTTAATCTAAAATTTTCTAGCATTGTATAAATTCATTTTTTTCACATCCTACATGTATTTGTAAAATTTAAACAATGTTTATAAATCCCAGACCCTGAAGATGATCTCAGTAAAGGTTGAAACATTGGCATGTAAAAGAAAATGTTTTTCTAAAACCTTTGTCACACCAGACCACACCTCGCAATCTCCGAATAATTACAATTTTACCCAAAAATTATTCCTCAATAATTACCACAAGGAATATCAATAACTCTGAGGAAGTGTAAATGAAGTCTTGTTTCTGAATGTAATTTATAGAGAGAATGGTGGGACCCTTTCCCAATTACCACAAGGAATATCGAGTTTCTCGGAAAAAAAAAAAAAAAGAAAAAAAAAGTGCTATAGGGAGTGTGAAAGAAGTTTGGTCTTTGAATCTAATTTATTAGCAAGAACAGTGAAGCCCATCCCTCAGTAATTACATGTAAAAACACCCTTTATTTGAACAATAAGTTTATCCTAGTACAATATTCTCTCTGTGGTAGCTAGGCAAGAAATGTATTGTTTTAGATTAATAATATAACAATTATTTAACAACTGGAGAAAACAAATCCCCTTGCTTCAATAATTTACAAAAATGTGTTAAGAATATAAAAAAAATATAAAATATATAACAAACACAAACTTTGCAAAATAAGTTATAAGACCCTATCAGATTGCAATTTTAAGAACACCAGTATCCTAGCATTGCAATCTGATAGTGCATGTTATATTATACTTTAAATCCTTGACTAATGAGGCCATGAGGTAGGTATTCTTAACATTTGTTTGTAAAGTATTGAAGTAGGGGATTTCTTATTTCAATGAAAACTCATCAATTATAATCCATAAAGATAAGAAAAGACAATCGGGATTAAAATAAATATTTTTTGCAGCATTTTTAAAATTTTATTTATTCGTAAAAACAAGTTGTTTGTTTATTTTATTTAATTTTTACGAGTGTTTTAAACAATTGAATGGGTTTAAAAGTACAAAGTCTGAACCTTTGTTTTTAACATATCTTGGTTCACCACCTTTAAAATTCCAATAAGATAAATATAAATATTATTTTTCATAAAAAAACCTATAGAATATTCTTTTCTACCAATTTCTTGCGATGTTGTTACTCTTTAAGCAAATAATAATAAAATACACTGATGGACAAATTTAATGCACCACTCAATTTATTTAGTTTAAAATTAAATCGATTATTTTTCCACATTAATTACAGGTAATTAGTAGCAATTGAAAAATTCTCACAAAAAACAAAACCGTTAGGTAACAAACAAAGGATGTAAAATACTATTTAAGATATGGGCCCATAATAATGGACAAACCATGCCAATGGATGATGGAAAAATTTAATGCACCATTCAATTTATTTATTTTAAAATTAGATTCATTATTTTTCCACATTAGTTACAGGTGATGAGGATCTATCATAGTCAAAGAAAACAGTAAATAATGCTTTATTTACTTCCTTTATTTACTTTTGTACTGATTAATCCCATTTGCAAAAAAAAGTACTATTGTGCCCTTCCATTCGTTGTTATGCCAAAAGATGACTTTCAGTTAATTTTTTGCTTTGTTGATTTTATTTCATATTATTCTTGTTCTTGAACTTTTTTCAATGGTTCCATCAAGGCATTTGAGTGAGCATGACAGTGGAATAATATTATTAGAGAAAGGATAGAGACAGAGAGAAGTCACTAGGAGATTGAATGTAAATCACTCTATAATAGAAGGGTTCTTCGGCGCTTTAGAGAAACTGGACTTCACACTAGAAAGCTCGGGCTGGGTTGACTGGTCTAAATACCAGTAGCATTAGGGAAAATAAGAAATCTGATAATCAAGTCTGAAATGTTTCAATTTCCTCCAGGGCCGTACATAGAAGCCTCAATGAAAGTTACCACAGAGCGACACCCAGCTTGTGGACCCTTCATACCTCAACTCAGAATAAGTCCAGGCTTCATTATGCATCGAAATATGTGAATTGAACATTGGAAGACAAGAAGACTAATTTCTTTACAGATGAGGTGAGTGTTGGTCTTCAGATGGACGTAAATTCATTTTTTTCCCCAACCACCTTCCTTTATTTACTTTTGTACTGATTAATCCCATTTGCAAAAAAAAGTACTATTGTGCCCTTCCATTCGTTGTTATGCCAAAAGATGACTTTCAGTTAATTTTTTGCATTGTTGATTTTATTTCATATTATTCTTGTTCTTGAACTTTTTTCAATGGTTCCATCAAGGCATGGAAGGTTCTTTGCTGTACCTAAAGAAGACCCCATACCGGTGGACCATGGCCACTAAACTAATTCAAATGGGATGCAAGTTTAGGGGATTGTATTGTGCTTAACGTCTTCCTTCGACCTTGCCCTGAAATGGAAGACCCAAGGAAGAAGGGAAATTTTTTTCTTATTATTAATTTATCTAATCTAATAGGTCGCCCCCTTGCTGGTTAATCCTTTTGAATACACTTTCTAATAAATACAATATTTTAATAAATAAATAACAATTATGGGTATAAGGAGTAACCAACTCGGAATTAAAAGTTCATGGAAACGCTAAGATCTAACAAGTAACTTATCATAGGAAGAAAAGGAAGAAAAAAGAAAGTAAGAAAAAACTAATCAGGTACTTTATCCACTATAGCTCGGCTAACAGCTTGAGGACCTCAAACGTCCTCTTTTCTGTAACCAGTTCGTTGAGGGTCAGTGGCCAAGTGTGGCGGAAGAGGAGCTTTAATGGTTCCCTCACACTCTCAAGGAGGAAATTCATATGGAAATGCTCAGGAGAAAGGCATCCCAAGCTGTATGGTTCCTCAGGTGGCGTTCCATGGTGGGTTATTGATGTTCTGGGGTAGCATTTCCTTGAATGCCTGCACCGAATTGGTGTGTGAGGAAGATCTCTAACTCCACAGGGGTACAAGACATAATTGAAGATGTAGTGCCATTTTCCTTCAACATGAGAGATTCTTCCTAATGCAGGATAATGCCAGGCCTCATAGAGCACATATTGTTGAATGAAGTTGGAACTGAGTGCTTGATGCACTGAAGTCGAGATTTGAACCCAATATAACACATTTGGACTAACTTAACGAGTACCATGGCAAATTCCAGGTCCTAACACTGTAGAATTGTTGGAAATGGCTGTTCTTGTTGAATGGGAAAGAATTCCTCAGGATTTTACCAGAAATCTTTTCCAATGAATGCAAAGGCATTTAATGGACATGATTTTTGCCAAAGGTGGAAATATTCGGTGGACAAAAATAATTTTTTTACATTTTTGTTTTTGAATTTTTTTTTCTTTACTTAACAATTGTTTTTTAGAATAATAAAATATAAAAAATAGGTAATAAATATTTTCCTTTAAATGTATTATTTTTACAGCCTAACCTATTTTTGGTTTGTAAACTATGAATAAACCAAAATACATTCAAATTTAAGGGTTTGTGTTAATTTTACTCATCAGTGAATATGTATTAAACATAATAACAATAATAATATGTTTATAAATATTCAATAATTATTTTATGCAATAAAACAGTTTTATTTTATTTGAAACTGGTTTGTTTACTGGAACTCTATTAACATTAATTAACTTTCTATTTATACCAATATAAATACAAAAATAAATATTTCAAAGGATGTGGGATCTCTATGAAAAAATAAATGATAATCACAAATTGAAGATTTGAAGCTATCGCCAAAAGATAGTATTTGATTAGCTTGATTGATACTCACAGTAAGAGGGGAGAATCTGTTCAGAAGATAAATTTGAATAGACCGTACCGAAAGATCAGTTGGTATTGAACAAGACAAGTGACTGATTAATTTACAATGTCGCGGTTTATACTGCTGTATGCCTTTATGCCATTCGCTCTAGTCAAATCCTGTGGTTATGAGGTAATAAAATATTTTAAATTAGCATACACTGTATCATTTGTCTTCAAATTAGTCAAGTAAAACTGTGTTATGTTTGTGTGTGTATGTATTAAACATATTAATAATAATATGATTACAAATATTTAATCATTATTTTATTCAATAAAACCTTTGTCTTTGCATAAAAATTGTGTTTTGTTCATTATATATATTTGAGGCCAAATTATTGAAATTTCTTTTTAATAGAATGTAAACTCATTTAAATTGTAAATATTAAAAACATTTGATCCCAAACTAATAACATAATTCAATCAATTTAATATTTATTATTATTGCTCTAATTGTTACTTATTGCTTGATGTGTCCAACATAATTGAAGGGTGTCATTCTTGGCTCCATATAAGGAGCGTGTAGGAATTCACAGACTTGTGCTTGAGTAGCAAGTATTTCAGTCCTCTGTTCCAATTTTTGCCAAAAACAGGGCTTTTTAATTTTTTATAGTTCTTTATAAATATTGCGCTTCTTTGTATGTTGAGAGTGAATGTATTTATTAGTGTGAATATGCAGTGTGAGAGATTTGATGGCAAAATATTGAGTACTTGATAGACCCTCAATTAAATTATGGATAGTCGACCCTAAGTGAATGTTATGTGAATAGGAAAAAATGCATTTAAGAAAGAGTGAGAGTGTGAGTGGGTTTAGGTTTAAAAACTGCATATGTTGAAGACTTCACAGGCAGAATTGGCCATCTACTTTTTGAATTAGGTGACCAAAAAAGGCCTTCGTGGCCAGAATTGGTCAAAAGTGCAAATCGGTTCTCATATCTACATGCTTTTTATATGGAGCAATAACGTTCTTTTTAAGTAAACAATTGTTTAGGACAAATCAAGAAATCTTTTGCTACATAATGACACGTGTGCTTTGGCCCAAAATTAAGCATCTTTCAAAGTAGTGTGTTAATGTTTCATATTGAGGTAGTCAAGTGGTTAGGGCGTCCAATTCTTATTTTCCTGGCTTAGCGGTTGGTCCTAGGTTAGAATCCCAACATAGCCATGGATTTTTAATTGCAAATAATATGGAGAAAGTATTGTAAAATGAATTGACCCCTTATCCATGTCAACCAATGGATAGTTAAATATGTACTTAATTTACTTTACTTTTGCATATTGTAATTCTACAAACAAAAAGAAATATTCATATTTGCTTAGTGGTCATAATTGACCATTTCAATTAATATTTTTATCTAGGTTTTTAGTTGAGATGAAAAATTAGTGTCACGAGCGATTACCACTTGAGTTGAAGTCACGACAGCACATGACACTAATATTTCATCTCAACCAAAAACCTTAGATATTGGAAAAAGAAATCTCTTTGTTCTTTTTTATTTAGAGTTAATGTAGGCCTGGGGTGCCCTTAAATTATTAGCATGGCCTAATGGCATCATAACACCACTATAGTTTACAAAGTTTTTTTAAAAATTTTCTATGTTAAATTAATTATTTTGTATTATTTTTTGGACATAATTAATTCAAGCACTATTGGGCGTATTTTGCTTTTTTTTTCTAAACCGACCTTTTATTGGCAGATAAATTTAGAAAATAATGTTTGTAACACAGGTAACTGTAGTAGAGGGAAGTTGTTACTTTTTTTGTTTTTCCATTGATGAAATGTTGAACTTTAAAAACCAAGTTTATTGCTGATGCATTTCAAATCCAAATCAGCATTGCCTTATCAAGACAAGTGTGCTTGAAAATTCTGTCAGCTCTATTGTCATAGCGATATTTGTCATATCTGTGATTTATTCATTATTCATTGCAAATTATTCTTGTATTGTTTCTTATGATGTTTTAGAAAGCAAAAATTGAAATACTCTTATATTTTTTCTCTTATGAAAAAACAAAATTCACATTTATCTAAGGTCATAGAAAATTTGATTTAAAAATGTGATTTCAGCATGGAAAAAAAACCCTTGCCTATTTTCATTACTTGACGACTTGCTATGTAATCTGTACTGTTTTCAAAATGATTAGTGTTCACAAGTTCAATTCATATTGTAAAATTTTAATAACTAATTAAATTGTGAAACATTGTGTGATGTATTTTTTTTTCTTTTTTATGAGGGTTCGCGGGTTCACAACAGCAGAGGTCATATCAACCCTCAGGGTGCTGGTGTTTTATTACGTTTTATATATATTTTTATTTAAAGCTTGATCATCGATCATTAGGCATACTTATCTATTTTTGTTTAGTGTCAGACATGTTTCAGTATTTTGCCGTGATCAATGCCTTGCCTTTGGTTTGTTCTTGTCTATTAATATTGTAATCTCATTTCAAACAATTAATAATTAAGATACACAAAATGCAACTTTTTTCTATAAATCTCAAATTAAAACTTCAAATTTTTACAATTGCAACTTTATGTTTTATATTTTACAAACAGTCCTAAACATAAATTACTCATAGTGCTAGAGTAATCATAAAATTACAATTTAAACTTAAACCTTAACTAGGTTTAAATTTAAACAGTAATGAATCATATTTGAAGAGTTCTTGAATGTGAAGAAGCTGCCATTGAACACAGCAACATAAATCATTCTCTTCAGCAATAAAAAGTTAAAGAAAATTTAAAGAAAACTTCACCAAGGTCCTAAAAGTTATCATAGCTTTATTTGACAAGCCTGACTTTGCTTTGTTAAAAAATTATTCTTTACTGGATCCAGGGCAAGCAGGAGTAAACAGGAATGAAGAAGCAGAAATCTTAAAAATTCTGCAAGGGGATTGGGTAAGTGATGGGTGATAATACATAGAGCAAATAAATAAAAAAATGATTAAAACCAGGACTAATAATAAAAGTCTTTGATGAATCAAGGCTCACTCTTGTGCTATAGATATTAGGTACAGAACAAGGGAATAACTCTCAAAGGGCGCAGTATGCCAAATTTTCCTGTATTTAAATCTACAAATTTCAAATTTTCAGATAATATTTAACATTTTTCAATGAAATTTGGTACCTATTGAATTTCAGAACTGTCCAAAAGCGAGTCCAACCTTGATAAACCTCCATTTTGTCCCTCATACTCATGATGATGTTGGCTGGCTAAAAACTCCTGATCAATATTATTACGGAGGTATCTGTTAATTTTTTTCTTCACATTTTTGCCTTTTCAATTTTTCTTTTATACTACATTCATGTTCCAGTAAAAAACAATATTCAAGATGCAGGAGTGCAGTACATTTTAGACACTGTAGTTCAGGAATTATTGCACGACAGTAATAAAAGGTGTAAATAATAATAAACAAAGAAAATTTACACTCTACAATTTTTATTCTGACGTTTTAGATTTATTTATGTAGAGACTGCTTTCTTTTGGGATTGGTGGCAAGAACAGCATGATGCGTTAAGACATAAAGTGAAAAGATTGGTTAATAATGGCCAACTTGAATTTATAGGTATCAAAAGTTATTATTTAATAACTGTGATAAAATTATTATAATTTGATGCTGTTAGGTGGCGCTTGGTCGATGAATGATGAAGCAGCAACACATTACCACTCAATCATCGATCAGTTCACTTGGGGCTTCAGGTAATATTTTCATATTTTATTAAATATTTTACAAAAACTTTTTTGTTTTGTTTTAAGACGATTGAATGAAACTTTTGGGATATGTGGAAGACCAAGAGTTGGCTGGCAGATTGACCCGTTTGGACATTCTCGAGAAAATGCTGCAATTATGGCTAAGCTCGGGTTTGATGGACTTTTCCTCGGTCGTATTGACTGGCAGGACAAAACTTACAGGAAGGCTAATAAAACGATGGAAATGGTTTGGAAAACATCGCAAAATGATGACAGTATGGTCTACTAATTAACTATCAAATTGACAAAATTTAATTTGATTTTACTTGTAGCTGACGCAACGAATCTTTTTACTGCTGTTCTTTACAACACTTACAGTGCTCCACCAGGGTTTTGCTTTGATGTGAACTGTCATGACGAACCTATCATTGATAATGTGAAATCTCCAGAATATAATGTTGAAAGAAAAGTAAGACTATCTAAAATTTCTAAAAAAATGGATATGAAAAAACTTAATATTAGAAAACTCTATATATACTGTTCTTTTAGATTTCTACCTTTTTGGACTTAATGAAAGAATACAGCAAGTCATATGCAACAAATAACATTCTTATCACCATGGGTGATGATTTTATGTATATGAATGCACATATGTACTATAAAAATATGGACAAACTAATCAAGTAACACCAATTCATATTATCTAAGAATGTTTTGAAATATTTAATTATGGAAAATTTTAAGGCATATTAATGAGTTACAAGGTTCAGGATCCCCATTCAAGGCTTTTTATTCAACACCATCTTGCTACTTGAAAAGTGTCAATGAAGCCAAAGTGCACCTGCCGATAAAATATGACGACTTTTTCCCATACTCGAGCGATCCGAATGCTTTTTGGACAGGGTATTTTACATCGAGGCCGACAATTAAAGGCTTCGAACGTTTAGGAAATAATTTCTTACAGGTATGCATGCTATTAAAAAAGATTTACCAATAAATAAAATAACTCGTTAAAATTAATTGAACGGTCATTGTTAATATTTTCTGGTTGAATCTGTGGTCATCCATGGCTGAATCTTTAGCAGTTTTTTACCCCTAGCCTCTGCAAGATCTTGGCTTCGTTGTTAATTTTTCTAGTCATCTCTGTCTCTGTCTCTCTCTCTGTCTCTCTCTCTCTCTCTCTCTCTCTCTCTCTCTCTCTCTCTCTCTCTCTCTCCTTATCTTCTCACTCCCAACATCCTTATTTATTTGCCTTCATCTTCTGGCCATTTTTCCTTAGATTACCAACTTTTCTTTTTCCATTTTTTTTTTCATGGTTTAAGAATGTGTTTTATCAATTCCAGTCTCTGTTCTCTTATTTCTGTCAGTATGTTGAAGATTCATAAATACTTACGGCTTATAATTATTTATTTAAATTCACTAATTTCGTGGTCCGCTTGACCAATTAAATCATTACAATTAATTAAGGTTTTTTTTTAGTTGAGATGAAAAAAGTTAATGGCACGAGCGGGATTCGAACCCACGATCTTCGGCTCAAGTGGTAGAACAGCGGCGTATCTAGCCGAAGATCGTGGGTTCGNGATGATGAAACCTAGCATCTTCATAGATTTATTTTTTATTGAAGAAATATGTTCTTTAAACTTGAGCTTTTGATAAAAAAAAACACCAAGAATTATATCTTATTTTTCAAATCCCATTTATCAAGTACATGTAACTACTATGTTAGCAAGGTCCTCTTTCATTTCCATGTTCCATTCATTAAGAGTTCATGTTATCCTGTAGATTGTTCAAATCAGTACCATAGAGAACTTGTGGAGCTGATTAATTTCTAATTTTTCTATGAAAGGTCTAACAGTTTTCAATTATTATTATTTTTATTTACATAATATTTCTATTTGAGCGAATTTCCTTCCAGCTACCACCTCCACTAAATGGTTTTTTAATCAATGAAGTATAGGATTTTGTTTTGTTTGTTTTTATACCAGCTTAGTATTTTCTTTTTTTTAAATTACATTTCAAATTGTAGGTGTGCAAACAATTGTTTTCCTTGTCCCAACTTAAATATCAAATGATTAACAAACTGACATCTTTGAGAGAAGCGATGGGTGTAATGCAGCATCATGATGCTGTGACAGGTACTGAGAAGCAACATGTTGCTTCTGAATATGCAAGAATCTTGACAAAAGGTATTCAAGATTGTGAAGAAATTACTAAAAAAGGATTAGGGTAATTGAAATGAGTTATCCTTTAATTACATTATAAAATGATTAAAAATGGTAATATTGTTTTTATGACTAAATGTGATATATGGTTTGATTTTAGAAAATTGATGAACCCTGATGAAAAAGTGAAATTAGAGATGTGCCTTCAATTAAATATTAGCTCGTGTGCTGTTTCTGAAATAGAAGATTCTTTTGTCGTTACACTTTACAATCCCCTGAGCCGCTTTGTGAACCATTTGGTCCGCCTTCCTATAACTAATCCTAAGGAAAAATACTCAGTCAAATGCCCGATGGGTAGGTTTGTCAAATTTGCTCCGGAGTTTAAAATTTTACTCATTTTTAATTTTTAATTTAGGGAAAGAACAAGACACACAGATTGTACCGATTCCAACTTCTGTTACTGAAATTCCAGGCCGTAATAGCCAGGCAGTAGCTGAATTGGTTTTCCTCGCAAAAGGTGTACCTCCGTTAGGATTTAAATCTTTCTATGTGATGAAAAATTCAGATGCAACAACATTCAACTCTCACGTTTTCCACCACAGCAGGCAGTCAATTGAAATTGGCTACGATGTATGACATAAAAAACTCTTAATAGGATGATAAAACATAAAAAAATATTTAAATTTCAGAACTTAAAAGTAATACTGAATTCAAAAGGAAATTTGAAGGGAGTAAGGAAGGACAATGTTCTTCATTCGATCAGTAATAATTTTGGCTACTACATAGGTGCTGTTGGAAACAATGAAGTTGTTCAAAATCGGTCGTCGGGGGCGTACATTTTTAGACCAGAGAGCAAGTTGATTCCTATTGCAATAAAACCAATCACTAAAATTGTAAAAGGTATATAAACTGTCAAATTCAATTAATATAACAGTAAATAATTGGTGCGGTTTTCAGGACCAATCGTTTCTGAAATCCATCAAAAACAATCAGACTGGGTGAGCCAGATTATAAGGGTCATCAAAGGTTCTGACCATGTTGAGTTTCAATGGCTTGTCGGACCAATACCAATAGAGTAAACTGTCATATTATACAACATCCCTTTTTAACACTAATAAAATTTTCTAATTTTAGCGATGATAAAGGAAAAGAAATAATCAGCATGTACCAATCTGAGATCCAAAATGGTGGACAATTTTACACAGATTCAAATGGAAGGGAATCTCTTCTACGTACGTTGAACCATAGAAATACATGGCCGGTGATCCTTGAGGAGCCAATAGCTGGCAACTATTATCCAGTGACTACAAGGATATCCGTACAAGATCAAAATCAATACATGAGCGTAATAACTGACAGATCAGAAGGTGGTTCAAGCCTGAAGGATGGACTGATCGAACTTATGGTGAATTTTTTAAAATCATTCAACTTGACATGACTTTTAACCATTGAGGTTGTTTTTCTTTTTAACATTAATGTACACCTGCATCAATTTATGTAATAAGCAGTTTGGTTACATGTGCATGTTATGTGTGAGTATGAACCACCCATCAGTGACCAACAATGGCGGCCTCTTCCACATGACATCAACTCGATGGTCTTAGGCAATTGGTCACGAGACTAGTGGCACTTCAACCTCCTAGAAGAGATAGTAGGGAGGGTAAAAGTGGAAAGGTCACAGAACTGGCTAGGTCAGTAACAAAAGGAATTAGGAGGTCTGAGAGGAGAATGTTGTCACTAGCAAAGAAAATATCAATGATCATGCAAACGATTTTTGACTGGAGGGATTGGATCCTGTTAAGGTTCGATTTTTTAGCTGTTCTGTACATTTCCAGTCTTTAAGAACATGCAATAGCTAGGAGAGCTTTTTTCCTTTTCTTTTTAATAATTTTTTTTAGTGAATAGGAAGTCTTGAATGGAGGTCTAAAAGTTTTTTTGTATTGTACCTGTAGTTCAATTTTGCTATTTTAAGTCACATATTAATGTCAATCTTTTGTCTAAGTGCCATCCCTAATATTTGGCTCAATCTGCTGAAGTGAAATTTGATTCAGATAGACGGGTTACTTTGCATTTGAGGGTAAAGAGCAATTATAATTTTTCATTTGTGAAACCATGTTTCTAAGATATGATGATTGAGGTGTCAAACTGCTAAAGTAAGATTGAGATTGGAGAGAGAATTGCTGTCATCAGCAAAGGTAAGGGTGGAAAGGATTCGGGGAAGTCTGCCATGTATATGCTAAACAGTAATGGACCTTGGATGCTCCCTTGTGAAACACTAAATAGGATAGAATGGATCGGCAAGGTTGAGGTTCAGTAGGTAACATGGAAGAAGACGGGGTACGAGTCTACCCAGGCATTTAACCCCTCGAGTCTTGGTCGCCCACCCTGCATAATATATAATATGGAAGAAGGATTTTAGGACTAGAGTAAGTACTAGAAAAGAAGTATTTAAGTTTTAGCAATAGACACTGGAGTCAGATGTTTGTAGGGATGTTGCAATGTCAACAGCATGATGACTTTGGTAGATGATGGAGTCATAATTACAGAAATTGTTGTCAGGATTAATATTGGTTATAGGATTTCTTGCAGGCACGATAGGAGAAGCTTCTCAAGTACAAATATAAGGGTGAGTGTGTTAGGGGAATTTGTCATGTACAAGCTGAAAAGTAATGAACTTAAGATGCTCCCTTGAGGAATACCAGAAAGAATAGAATGGATCAGAGAGGTTGAGGTTCAGTAGGTAACATGGAAGGATTTTAGATAGTATCCATAGAGATAGTAAGTACTAGAAATGAAGCATTTAAGTTTCAGCAATGATCCTGTTATCAGACATCTCAACGGTTGTGATGTCTACAAGATGAATTTGGTAGATGATAGGGTAGTAATTACAGAAATTCGTAATTAGAAATAATGTTACTTGTGGATAGGGTTTCTTGCAGGTGGGATAGCAGTACTGTATATTTGAAAAGTAACGGAACTAGGATGCGCCCTTGAGGAACACCTGAGGCTGTAAAGTCTTTACCTGTTGGGATTTGGGATTTGAACCTTGAACAGCACGGCAAATATGAGTCTTCTAACCACTCAGCCACCCAATCACTTTTTATAACGTAGATTAATCAAATAAATTTAAACATTCTGTTAAGGTTTTAAGATAAAGAAAAATGGGGGTCTATAGATTCTTGGAACTGTAGGTTCTTGAAAATTGTACAGCCAGGTCTGTGAGAGAATTATATTTTATTTACTGAACATTTTTAACTCTTTTTACATGAGCCCTCTTCAGTGTACATTTCATATGTACATACCTTGGACATCCCTTCAATAATAAAATTACTGAACCTATCTCGACCTGCCTATTTTCATGGTTGACAAAACAGCATGAATAAGCAAAACCAGGGTTTTCTGAGATGATTGTGCTAAAGGAATTTGTGTTTCTCTTTTTGATAATATTGCTAATTTTAGGTTCATAGAAGATTGCTTCATGATGATGCTTTTGGAGTAGGTGAGGCTCTTAATGAAACGGCCTTTGGTGAAGGTCTCGTTGCAAGGGGAACACACATTTTAATGCTTGAGAACAACGCAAAAGCCAGAATGCTGGTTCAAGAAAAGGTTCTCAACAGTTGGCTATTTTTTACACCAACCAAAATGAATTTTGAAACTTGGCAGGCGGCATATAAAATGGAGGTGAATATTGAAATTGTTAAAATTAAATAATGGTTTAATGTTATGTCCTCTCAGTATTCAGGCTTGGAATCGGCATTACCTGATAATGTTCAAATTCTTACATTGGAACCTTGGACTGCTACAACACATATCCTAAGGCTTGAGCATATTATCGAGAAAAATGACGACCCTGAACTTAGCAAACAAGCTACTGTTAATCTGAATGTAAATATTTTTAATCTTGTTTATATTAGAGAAAACTTTAATTTTGTTTTAAATTTTTGATTTTGTAGAAATTATTTAGCAACTTTGTCGTGACAAAAGCAGAGGAGATGATGCTTGGCGCGAACTTAAAAGTTGTGGAGTCTCAGAGACTTCAATGGTTAACAGACTTGAAATTACAAAAGACCCAAGAACTGTCGAAAGATTTCAACATCGTCTTGGATCCAATGCAAATCAAAACTTTCATTATTGAAATGCATCCCAAGGTTCATTTTGATCCTAATCACATTCGTTCTATGTAATGAAGAAAACAAATAAATAAACAATAATTTTATTTCATGAAAGAATATTTTAACATCAGCGTTTTAACACAATAGTAAAAAAGATTATATATTTCTCATAAAAATTGTATACAAGTATAAAAAAATAAATAAATATATTTTATTACAAATACACTTTATGTTATACATCTTTTTTAGCTTTGTCTATTTTTCTGTTCCTTGAAATTCTGTTTATTTCTGGATAAGGTACAGGGTAGTATTGACCTGAATGTTGGTAATAGTACTGATAGTAATACGGATCGTAGAAGAAGTGCTGTTGTTGTTGTTGCAGCGCAAACTCAGCTTGTTCGGCCTGAATGAGTTGCTGCTGGATCTGCTGCTCTCTGCGGTTGTTCAATTTTTCCTGCTGCTTGTGCTTGTAGACAAAAAGTGGACGAAAAACCACCTGCCCGTTTACATGGTTTTCTCGGAACGAAGCGAAAAATCCGACCGAGATGAAGGCTAAAATCATCTAAATATTTTTTGGTAAGATTAAATAAAATAAATATAAATTGAATAGACTTACCATTAAATAAGAAGACATTTAAGTTTTAATATATAAATTTTCTTTAAACTTAGTTGGTTAATATTGTTAAAATTTAAAAGCAAAACAGACTGCTTGTTGTGTTTAGATGATTTGCGTCCAAGTACTTCCTCCTGTCTGAACGCTTTTCAAACAATCTGTTTGAAACCTTGTACTGAGTTCACTGTCAATTATGAGCAGTTAGCACAACGTACACAAACAGGACAAATAACTAATTCAGTTTCTAGAACACAGATTAACATATTACTATTAATCGTAAGGCATAGTACGCAACAGATTTTAGACTGGGCTGGCCCTCGTGACATAAGAAGCTTTAATAAGGAAATTTTACAATAAAAATTATTATAACTTGACCTGGGGTCATTAGCATCTGAAGTTAGTATTTCCTTCCTAACAAGTATATTTTTGTGGTCTGTCCTAAATAAAGTTTTTCCGTGAAACAAGGGGTTAATTATAAAACGTTTAGTACTTAAGGTAGAATATTACTAGCTATTTATAGAAACGGCTAAATTTAGTTTGTGAATATATTAAACAATAAGGTTGAAAATAATTGAAACGTTGTGATACCATGGAATAGTGATATTTTTCTGTCAGTTTTATATATTTTACATGATAAATATGGCTAATTAATTTAATCTTGGAAAAAATCATGGCTTGTATTTTCAAAATAAAATCTCTCGAAAATTCCTGAATGTAATAAAAATAAACATGTGGATAAATTCATGAGCTTTAAAAAAAGGGCATGATTGAACGTTGAATACCTAAATTGTCTGTTGCACTCAAGTCATGTTAACAGAGAGTAGAAAACGTCCAAGCCAAAATATTTATGATGGAGATGCATTTAAGAACTTGGATCTCGATAAAGACTACCAAATGTTTTACAAAATGGAATTCAATGAGGAGGAAGTAAGCTGTTTTTAATAGTTAATAAAGACTGTTAATTTCAATGATTAAACAACTGACGGATTTTTGAACTGAGGCAAATTCATCATGTGGTGGCACATGTGTTTGATTTAGAAAAAAATTTGTAGAAAGAATTTATAATAATGCACTTTTTTTATATCCAAGGATTAAGAGATTTAATAACAAACTGAATCTAATTGGACTAGAATGAATATTTCTATATTGTTTACAGTTTTAGGGCCTTTTCTTCTTTGATCTGTTCTTTTTCTTCTCGCATTTTATTCATCCTTATTCATTTTTTGTAACAATGCATCCAAGTTTTTCACAGAAAAGAGGACTTACGTGTTAAGGTAACTGACTCTTATTTCACCAGTTTCTCACTAGCATTGCTCAGGAGCTCATCTGCTTCAGAGTATTCAATATTCATTAGGACAATTGGGAAAAAAAACCTTCATTCACGCTAATAAATTACTTCTACACACCAGATTGCCCCAAAGTACTCAATATTTCTTGGGGTAATTGAGGAATGGGCTCCAATTGCGGAAGAACGCCCTACATTCATGCTAATAAATGAGATTCATGCACCAGACTTTATTTAAAATTGCCTCAGAGTACTTGTTATTTCTTAGAATTGTTGGAAAAGAAGCCCCTACATTCACGCTAATAAATCATATTCACACATCAGGCTTTATTCACAATTTCTCTGAGTTTCTGTTATTTCTTGGGGTATGGGAAAGAAGCCTCTCCATTCACACTAATAAATTACATTCCACCCTTCCTCAGAGTACTCGATATTCCTTATTGACTTTAATTTCACACAAATAAATTTTGTTCACTCAGTACATTGATAGAAATATAACATTTTCATTCAAGCCAATAAATTCTGACATACAATTATCTCATTCATTTGTACCTTGGTACTTGATATTCCTCGAGGATCAAAGTGTCTGACCCTTCTATTCTTGCTAATAAATATATTCCTTTGGAGTGATGGAGTGTTGAATTTTTTTCTTTGCAAAATCAATTTTTTATTATGTGCTCTCAGGGATGTTTTTTTTTTTTTACGATTTACAGGTGTGAATCGTACCCAGTCCCACTAATGTAGTACAATTGTCAATAAAAAGTGTTTCTATATGAAGCCACGATTTGATTACAATTCGAATAAAATGGGGAGTCGAAATGAGAAGTTTGTGGCATGGGTGATCAAAGTCACGGTAGCTCAAGTGGTAGAGCAGCAGTGTATTTAGCTGAAAGTCGTGGGTTCGAATCCCTCCTGTGACACAGATTTTTCATATAAATTATAAATGATGGGGTGAGTGTGAAGTTCAATCCTTTTCCAAAAAAAGATGGTTCCTACTCACATTAAGTAATGTCCCCTAACCATCCCTAACCAGATTTTTCATTTACAAAAATTGTGTATAATTAATTGAGTATTTATATAGTTAAGCATAAGCTGATAAAATAATTAAAAAGTTAGTATTTCTAGAAATTTTAATAACTGTAATGTTGAATTTTGTTTCTAAGTAATACTTAACAAAACTGAAGCTTATAAAGATTTTACGATTTATAAAATAAGCAAAAATGTTTTTCTGTTTATTTATTGGTGATAAGGGTGTTAACTTTTTTCAGGATGATCAAATAGCTAGTCAAATAGAGAAATGTTTATTTTGGGTAGCTAAGAAAAAAAACCTGGGCATTGAACCGTCAATATGCATAGAAAAAAGCAAAAATGGTATTGCAACACCTGTGCTAAAGCTTTTTAAACCTGTGGAACTTGGAAAGACTTCAAACTTCCCAATTCCAAGTATTTCATGTATAAAAGACTTATTGTGGAAGCTGCGTCTTGAATGGCAATACAAGAATCCGTCCAACTTTAAAGGAAAATGGCTTCTTGGTCTACCGAACGCTCCTGAAGTTTATCCTAAATCCCCTGTACCGATTTATATACCATTTGACATTGCATGCACTGCAAACGGCTGCTCTGAACTTTGCTTTGCGGATTTAAAAAGGGAAGAGATAATACGCTGTCCCAAGCAAAACCGTTGCATAGTCAGTGCGTTGGAAAACTTGAAAAAGGACAGAAAACACACAAACCAAACTTCTGTCAAGAAAGACAAATCAGTTTCGACAAATGAAACTTTTCTCAAGACGAAAATCAAATCTCAAGAAATACCTGCTGAAGAAGTGGTCAAATGCAAATACGAAGGAAGTGAGCAGTCAATAGAAGAAGTCAGACTGTTTAAAAAGTCAAACCCAAATGACAAGCTCAGTTTTGTCACATTACCAAGATTGAGCATATTCCCAGTTGAAAATGGTATATCACATACTCCAAAAATTAAAGCCAAAAGGTTTTATAAGAAAAAAAACAAATCACTTAAGAAACTATAGTTTAACAAGCTATTGAAAAGAATTTGACAATCATAGACTCTTTGACCTCTAAATTATTTCTCTGTTAAAAACCACCAGTAAATAAAAATTCTCCAATAAATATTTTGCAATTTAAATGTACTTCTGTTTTAAATGTATTAAATTGCTTTTATGTATATACAGTCACTCTTGATACTCTCAAAACATGATAATTTGAATTTATTGATGATACTGTCTCAGCAGGTCACTTGGGTAAATCAACCAAATTTTGTATATTTGATACACTCGGTAATACAAAATATTTTTCATGACAAAGGAAAAAGATTTTTTGTGTAATATTCCTCTAAATTTTCACGTATTGTTTACTTCCTTATGGCCTAAAGTTTCTTTGAATTTTCTCATTTTTGTTATATTCAGCGGTCAGTGTTTTGTAAATGCGTTTTGGCACTGGTCACTTTGGACAATTATTTAGACAAAGGATGCCACGCCACATAGAAACAAAAACCCCTCCATAAATTGTTTTAATAATGTTCAATTTTTCAGTTGATTTAGTTCCACTTTTTCATTATTTTTATGATATTTTATGTATACACAATAAGTTGTAAAAATACATGTTAACCTAATCATTTGAGTTGATTGGTAAAAAAAATTGTCTTTTCCTAAATTCCTCAAATTCATCCAAACAGGTATCTAACACTAAAAACTTCAACAACATACTGTTCATAAACACACATAAAAAAAGAAGCCTATTGTGGAAAAGACAATTTATTAATACTATACTACATATACTAATATTATTAACACTTACATAATTAGAAATTATTATGGACACTATCAAAAAGCTAATCATTTTATTTTCTTTCCTATTGATAATTTGAACATCTTGATATTTTAAATTATTTTTGCGGTCCCTTGGGTTTTGCATTATCAAGAGTAGACTATATTGGCAAATATTCTGCAATATTAGAAAATAAAAAGAAGAAACCGAAGGAATTAAGTGGGAACACAGATTACACAGAAGAAGGTTCATTTTGAACAAGATTTTGATGCCAATCACAGTAAATTTAACAAAACCACTTTGGGAAAAACAAAATATCCCATTTGCTTTAAACTTATTGGAAGTACACAGATAAAAATAGTATATATTCTTGTTTTTGTAGGTCTCTTTGTTCAAATTGAATTGAGTACATCTCTCAATTGCATTTTCTTCAGCCTGGAGTTACTATTGTATTTCCCCTTGGGTTCTGTTTTTTCCAGGACCAAACATTTCTACCCTCCCCCTATCTTTTTGATTTCTAGAGCACAAATTCATATGTATCATAATATTTGGTATTAAAAAAAATCTCCAGCAAAACTTTTATTTCATAAAATCTTATGACTTAAAACATAGCAAAAATCAAATCTTTTAGTAACAAAATTAGCACCTTATGTTATAACAACCAAAAATTGCCATTGTGATATCGTGTTAACAATGTATTTTTGTGTTATGAATTTATTACACAAGCAAAAGTACTTTGACCAAAAAATTGTTTTTATTCAACACACAACCCTAAGTAAATTCGATACGTCTTTTGTTCGTGAGGTTTGGCATGTTTGAAGAATTCCTCCAGAGAATAGCAGGTGTGCTCTTTTTTTGACAGGACCTTCTTCCGGAGTACACCCATTTTATCTCTGAAAAGGGGTGAATTGTCACAGACGAAAACAAATTGTCAAATTAGACTTACAAGTGTGAGGTAGGAGCAGGGAGAGTTTTAAAATAATAACTGTTTTGCTGTCTCTTCCGGGCGTATTTGAGAGCAGCTTCCTTTTTCTTTTTGACTAGCCAGGATGCAAACATTTGGTCATTTTCTTTTTGTCGCCTTTTCTCCTCTATATATCTTTCTTCACGCTCCTTTCTTAACAACTTACTCATTTCTATTTTTTTCCTGTAATGTTTGAATAAAATCAATGTCAACCTTACATTTTCTTAGACAAAATAACTAAAATTCATACACTAATCACCCTCACTTTTAGCCCACTTACCTTTTTTATGTACATTACAATTTTGAAAATAAATAGGGTTTTATATAAAATAAATATTGTTTGGAAATTTTTAATTTTGAGCAGATTAAATGTTATTTGTTCCCTTACCCCAATTATTAACTATTTTATTAATTTGTGCTTACTTTTTTCTTTCAATTAGTTGCTCAGCACTTAGGCCATACTCTGACCTTAGTCCATTGTATGATGGAAGTTTAGATGCCTGAGGTGAACTGTAAACCTCACTAAGACAAAGCCTTTTCGCCGAAACACTTTTAGGTCTTGCTTCATTTTTAGTTTCTTGTTTCTTTTCAACCTTTTCAACGGAATTTTGTTCTTCTTTGACACTTTTGATCTTCTCTTTTACTTCATTAATGTCAGTTATAGGCATCGGTTCATTAATTTCTTCCTTCACATCCAACAGACATTTTGTTGACATTTCACTACAAAGATTTTTAACTTCTGACTGCATGCCTTCTTCGAGGATGGGTTCTTTGAGTTCTTCAGTGACAAGATCATCAGGCTGCTCAGTTTCGACGATCTCATGAACTATTTCTTCTTCATTAATGACTGAGGCGGTTTCATGTTCTTTACTACATCTGTCCCACCTGAAACCAGTTTCATCAAACACTTCTTCTCCTTCATCACTCATTGGCCCTTCATCATTATCCTCACTAAAACCAGTTGGTACTGTTACTAATAAAATTTTATTCTGACCTTGTCGCATGGGAGTGGGACTATTTTGATTTTGTTGGAATCCTTTGGAACTTCGAGGCTCTAAAACAAAAATACTATTAATCTATTAGTCATTTAATTCATTTATCAAAGATAATTTCAAAAAGCATTGTGAATTGATTATTTGTGACTGTAAAAGTGCGTAAATTTTAAATTTGTGCCCTTCGTGGTCTTTCGTGCTATGATTGCCCTCTGTTTCTAATTGCTTGACGTTTACCAGATGAATAATCTTCGCTGTACAATATTACTTTTTCATTAAATCGGACTTTCCCAGGCTTTTGGGGTGGCATTTTTATTTGTTTCAACTGGGTATTCGCTTCTCTTATTCTTTGTGTCTTGTCGTATGGGTTAGGAGAAGCCATCAACACTGAACCCGAAGGGCTTAACTTTACTGTAATAAAAAATAAAATAAATAAATACTTTATCGTTTGAATAAATATATTACAAAGGGGATACATGTGTTAGTAAATTCACAAAAAGGAATACATTTTATTTACTCTGAAAACACAAACCAATGATCTTTTCATGTAAAAATTGCTTAATTTAGGGTTGAAGTAAATAAAAACAATCCTTTTAGGTATAAACATATAATTTATGATTGTTACAATATTTAAAAAACACTTTTTTTTAATTTTTTATAATTTAAAATTTTTTCTTTTTGCTAAGTAAACAATAGAGTCAATCGACTTGCAGGTCAATACACAATATTACTCAGCCTTAGCCTTGTCTTAAATATTCTGTAATAATATTGATTAATAATAATAATGGTCTATTTTTTCATTTACAAATTTTTACACCTAGAAATGTACTTTAGTCCATCAGCCAAGTTGATTAACATTGATCTTTCGGATTTCGCAAAGAATTACAACATAACAGAAAAAAAATATAAAAAATACTATAAATGAAGCTACATATTACAAAAATGCTTTAAACATTAAATTTTTCTATTGAGTGGACTCGCACTACTCTTTTGCATTACATGAGAGTTATAGCATCAAAAAAAACACTATAATACAGTGCATATATAAATTTTCCCAACCATTTTCTGACCTAGTGACATTATAATTAAGAAGAACTTTCCTCTGAGTTTCATAATTGTCTGGATTTTATGCAATAAATGTCATTTATATAAGTCTTTCTGCTTCTAAATTTAATTACTTGTATAAACTATGAAACCTAAGCTTATTTAATTGGTAAGCTATTATTAAATTTGGAAGAGACTTAAGTCATTAATCTCTCTGTAATTATTGTACCATTCATTTTCAGACTTTTGTATCATTATTTTATAATTATCAATAAGCCAAGAAATTTTTTAAACCAATAATTTTTTTTAAAATACACCAGCTAAAATTTTGGTAGGCAAATTTGTAGCATTTAGAGGACTTTTTGAATATACTTACAGTGTAAATTAAAATTGAATACAAACAATCAATTTACACCCATTTTCTGTTATACAATATAATTTGGTGAATTGGTTTAATCTTGAATAATATTTGAAGGGATAATACCAATAGAAAAATCACATTAAAATGCTTCGTTTACAAAATTTTTAAACTTTTTAGATTTTGAATACAAATAACAAACCAAGAAGAGTCAGTCTTCGGTAATGTATAATACATGAATAAAATTTTAATGAAAAACACCAGTAGAAAAGTTGCATATCAATAAAAACACTTCGAGTGAGTAGAAATACTTTGATTGAATATATAAAAAATATATTTTGCATTGTATAATTTCACTTTTCCACATCCAAAATGTAACTGTTATATGTAAACAATGTTTGTAAATCCCAGGCCCTGAAGATGATCTCAATAAAGATCGAAACGTTGGCACGATAATGAAAATGTTTTTCTGAAACCTACATCACACCAGACCGCATCTCACGATTTCTAAATAAATATAAACAATTCTAAAACTTTGAACCCATAGAGCACAGTTTAACAACATTTTGTCAGATCTGACAACAAATTACCAGAAACAACCTCTTCCTAACCATCAATCCATTCTTAATACTGCTACTAATGCTGCTGTCAAACAAACAGGGCAAATGCCTATCTTGTCCTTTCCACAGATATTGCTTCTGCAATGCTGGCAAGGAGAAATTGCTTTTCTGTCCTCTTTCCAGGAGAAAAAAATCATAACTAACAAATTTCAAAGCAGAACTGTTTTGATCAGTGATGGTTTCATTTTTCTTTCATAGCAACAGACTTTGTCAATTACAGTCTATTTTTTGGAAAGGGTTTGGACATCCTTTCTTCCATATTGGTGGGTGTTACGAGTGTGACATTTTTTCAAAAATGTTAAATGATATTTGTTGGGGTTAGTCACACAACCTTTCATTCAAATGAAATTTACAAATTATATAAGCATTCAAAGCAGTTGTGACAGATATTACAAAAAAATACTCCATGGCTCAGCAATTCATTTTTCTAGAGACTTTTTTTGTATGAGTGTCAAAAATTGGTCAAATGGTAAAATTGGAATGATTTCTGCCTTCTGGTTGATGTCATCAACTACACCAGTAAATTCACCAACTGGCTGGAAGGGTAATAGGACCCCTCTCCTCACCAGAATTCACTCGGGTAGTACAGAAATAGGGGCAGTGGATGTCAGACTTTGAAAATTCTTAAGGCGATGAACAAGTAATTTGATCATTGCTGATCATTTTGGTCTGCTTCTACTCATGGGTTGGTCTGCTAGACATTTGATATGTGTTGTGTGAAACACAGAAGATGGAAAAATCCCTAAAAGCATCTTGACAGACCATTCAGTGAGAATAGGCAGATGATCGGTAATGACCCAATTACAAATTTTATTTAAATGTAATTAAATCTATAAATACTACCTACATGTAAATACAATTTAATACTTTTTATAACATTTTATACAATGCCTATCATTGTGGTTCCACCCATTAATCTTCCTTCAAACATCAATAGTTCAATTCAAAGCCCATTGTCATGTATTGTTGCACACTTTAATGGTTTCTTGAACAAATTAGGAAAATAGTTTCTTCAACAAAAAACAATGATAAACTATACATTGAATGTGTATAGTTACATCATCAATAGTTTACTAATAAGTAACAAAAATGGCAAGTTTTAAGTATGGCTGTTATATTATGAAATAAAACTTTTCACTCAGTGTCTTGTATCAAGGAAAAATATTTGTAAACAGTAGATTTAAAAATGCACATTCTACTTCTGAGCAGCAAATGATAAAAAATATAATGATCAGTACTAATGGATCTTTAGACCTAGACATACTATTAAAAAAATTATTCTGTTATACACTTTGTAAATTTTTTGTTCTGTTTCAACTCAACCGAATAAAACTAAAATTATGGCAATCACACAATGAACAATGAGATTTTAAGAAGGAAAAACTTTACACAGTGACTCACTTTCTACATCCTCCTCGTCATCCTCTTCATCTTGGTATGCAGACCTGTTCCTGGGGCTTCCCTGGAAGCTCCTTCTGGGATCAATGTATCTCCGATGCATGCTTGCTTCTGATTGCTACTATTAAGTCCTCAAGATTGCATAATTTTGAACTCACACTCCACCACACATGCTTTAGTCAGGAACTATGAAAACTCTAAACTGTTGGCTGGTCGCCCTAGCAACCCTGACTTATAAGGAGTTATCCAACATAACATAGATTTAAAAATAAATTTCACACATGGGAAACATATTTTTATTTTTAAAGTTTTATAAATAAAGTTTAAAAATTATATCTTGGTTTTGTTTTGAGAGTTTATTTAAATTTGTAGATATTGGATCAAACTATTTTATTCTGCATACGTAACATTTTTGTGTGTTGTGATTGTTTATTTGTGCTTGTGTGGGTGTGGATTTTTAGTTTCAGCTAGTCAGCTTGCGTTTGCATGTTTTTTTGTCTATCTATATGTGGTATGTTTGTTTCAATATTGTGACTATTTTTGTAAGTCTGTTAGTGTGTTTTTATTTACTAGTTTTGTGCTTATTGTGGGTAGCTTTGTAACACAATTTTGCCCTTTTTATAATGTGTGCTTTTGCATATCAACCATTCCTCAATCTGCTGTTTTGAGTTGCAAAGGTAGTTTAAAAAATTATATTTTTTTTCAGAACTGTTCCATCAGTTTTTATTTCTTGATAGCTTTCAGGCCAGCCCACAGGGAGTAAGGTTACATTTTAAAAGCTATCAAGAAGTAAAGAACTGGTGTAACTGCTCAGAAAAATAAATTAATGATTAAATAAACATGCAGAATGCACTTTTATTTTATTTATTTTCATTTTTTTTACTTTTACCAGTCAGATACAATTATTTTTAGCTTGAGAGTGAAACAAAAATGTTTTACCTTAGTTTTAACTTGTTTACCAAAATTATTAAAAATTTTCAAAAGTAGTAAAACCCAAATGCAAATATATTTAATAAACCATAAAAGAAAATCACAAACAATTTTAAAATAAACCATTAAAAAAATCCAGCAAATAAATGATAAAATCACAGCAAAATAAATACACAAAACCTAATGAACAAATGGAAACAACAAAAAATTATATGAAGAAAGACCAAAACAAACAGATAAACACAGGCAAAATTAAACAACAAACAGAATTTTTAATATTGATACAAAATGCCTTTTCATTGTTTTATTTTATTGTAAATAACTTTTCAATATGTCTACTAAGAAGTAAGGTAATATGAGAATAATGGTTAAGAAAAGATGGATTCTATAAAATCACATACACATTATAAAACAAAAACTTAAATAAAAATATTAAAAATTATAAACAAAACACTCATACAAATTAAAACAGGCAAAATAAAACACACACACACACACACGTCATATCATGATAGATGATGAGGGAGAGGGGGAAAGGAGTTGTTTTAAAAATAATTTATTTACAGCATGCACTACTTTACGTATTACATTTTGATGCACAAATTAAAACAATGTAACAATATAGAAGCATAAATTCACACTTAACCTAAACAGGTTTGGGATTAATGATAAACAAAAGAAAAATTGTTTCAATAATAAATCATTACAGTTTACCAAAATCTATCAAATTCGTTCTCCCGCACTATGTAGCTTTTCTGTGGAGGATGCTTTTCAAGCACAATTAAAAAAAAAAATCAAATATTGTGCATGTGAATGTTATATGGTCCCACTTCTGGTATGTTGCACCATCACACAGGGTTCTGAACCTTCCAGAATGTTAAAAAAAATGAAGGTTCACTCTATTCCTTCCATGGCCTGAGAGAGCTTGGGTTATTTTATATATTATTATGTCGACGCTGCTCCTTGACCTGGAGATGGTGGGAAAGAAAGCCTTTGTGTGCTGTCCCACAGCAGACCAAGGTTTCTTCCATCTCCCCAAGTGGGAGGGAGTGAGAGTGAGATGCCTGTGACCCAGCCATCAACCTAGACATGTATGAACAATTTGGTCTGGAGGTTTACACTGATGAACATGTAGGCCACACATTGGGCATTTTCCTGGGGAATGTGCAGATTATAGAACAGGGAAGCTTTCAAATAGATCGATAGCTAGCCTAGCTATACAAAAAAATAAGAATTATTACTAACAATGAATTAAAATAATCACCATTCACTGCTGAATACCAAAATACATCCCAGAATAGAAGAGGTGGGTTGCACCATATCATCATGGGGCAGTCAGAAGAAAACTGACTAGATGGTTAAGGATGCTTCCTAAATTGAGGACTTGCCATTTGTATATCCAAAGGTTCCTCTACTGCTGTTAAGTTCCAACACAGCATGGCTAAATAGTAAGAAATACAAAGTAACTCAATCCAGGGATGAAAAGCTGTTCTTTCCTTCAATCTCCTGTTGGTTATGGATGATGTAGCTGGACTGCAGGTTGGCATAACTTCTGAGAGGACACATGAATATATAGAATGAAAAGGAAACAAAGTTAAAAAAGATTGTATTTATACTAATGGTTAGAATGCAAATTAGAATTTGCACTGGATTATTTGAAAAAAAGGGGGAAAGAGGTTGAATTGCAACCTTCGTTCATCGTTGAACGAATCAACTGCAATGTCACAGAGCCTGTTGGCTCCAAAGTTTGTTTATCTAACTTTTTTTGTAACAGTTGTAGATATTTCTCGTCCACGTTCGCATCACAAGTGAGGATGATACGTGGCAGCCGGGTGCATATCGGCCTTTTGGCCAGTATTTTCTTAATAAACGGAGTTTTATGCTCTGTCGAAGAGGCCTGCCATTCGTTCGCCGGCGGCAGCGTCTACCCTCACACATCGGGGGTCGAGACTGTTGACCACAAACTACAGCATTCAAAAGCTGTCAGTAAGTCCTTTTTCCAGCCTTTAAGTCTGACATTTTTTAACGTTTTTCTTACATAAACACTGAAAATACAGGGAAAACCGATAATAAACACTAGATAATTTTTAACTTTTTATCATTCAATTATTCATTGAATCAAGGTGGTCGAATTAAAAAACAAATCTAGTTCTTACTCACAGGTCCGGGTCATTGAAAACAACTAACTGTGAGACTGTTGACCACAAACTACAGCATTCAAAAGCTGTCAGTAAGTCCCATTTTCCAGCCTTTAAGTTTGGTTTTTTTAAACGTTTTTCTTACATAAACACTGAGAAAACAGGTAAAACCGATAATAAAAATACTAGATAAAACAAATCTAGTTCCTACTCACAGGTCCGGGTCATTGAAAACAACTGTGAGACTGTTGACCACAAACTACAGCATTCAAAAGCTGTCAGTAAGTCCCATTTTCCAGCCTTTAAGTCTGGGATTTGTTTAAACGTTTTTCATACATTAACAGAAAAAACAGGGAAAAAAGGCAATAAACACTAGATAATTTTTAACGTTTTTTGAATCAAGGTGGTTTAATTTTTTTAAAATTTAGTTTCTAATCACAGTTACTTGTTTTCAACAATCTAGATTTCAGGCTTATAGTTTATCATGTGCAAAATGATGACTATTTTTATATGATTTTATATGTTTAAGGATGGTTAGGAAAAGGTTTATTAATTTTTTTAATTTCTAAACAAATTTTATGTAGTTTCAAAGCAAGCTCCTTATTGGGAAAGTATTGCTGTCGTCAATGGTGAGATGACCGAGCTGAAATTGACCGACTACAGAGGGAAATACTTGGTTTTGTTTTTCTACCCGCTCGATTTGTATGTTTCACTTTTACAAATTTTCATTTTGACTTTTTTATTAACCTTTTTGGTTTCCAGCACATTTGTATGCCCCACGGAGATTCTAGCGTTCAACGACAGGATCCAGGAATTCCGCGATTTGAATACCGAGGTTGTCGGGTGCAGTGTCGACTCACAGTTTACTCACCTCGCCTGGATGAACACACCAAGGAAAGAAGGTGGGCTGGGCCCTTTGAATATACCTCTACTTTCAGATCTAACGCACAAAATTTCCAAGGATTATGGAGTCTACTTGGACGACGTGGGACATGCTCTGAGGTAATTTGAATTTATAATTACCCACTCTTTAAACTGTCACAACAAATGCATAATAATAACAACAGACTGCCGAATCTCCTTTATTTAAGATTTAAAAAAATCCTGCATTGGGCAACCCCTTAATTTTAGAAATTTCATTCAAAATTCACCTAGGGGTTGACCAAGGTTGGTGGGTCATGGATTTAGACCAAACTTTTTTTGGTGATTCCACACTCCAAAATGTTGGACATGTATCCACTACTTCTTGTAGGTATATAGGAATAGGTTCTGATTTGACCAAAAACATTTTTGGTTGAAGTTCTACGGGTTTTTTTTTTAATTTTCATTTCATTTCGCCTTTCTACTTGCTCAAATCATCTGTGTGAATACATCATTTTACGGCATTTTTTATCTAGATTGCAATAAAAAAACAAAAAAGTAGTAAAAGCTATCAAACTTTATCAATTACCAAAAAAATTCAAAAACCAAATAATATCTGTAAAATTTTTTTTCAATTTTTGAAAAATTGTTATTGGAATATCTGATTAAAATTAAAATGGCTGTAATTCAAAAACAGCTGAAAGAATTTTAATGTCAAACAGACCTTTTGAAAGAAGAGGAACGTAGATTTTTACCGACATATGCACTATTAAAATATTTCTATAAGAAAATACACAAAATAGAAAAAAAAAATTGTCAGAAGTTTATCTCGTTTTTTTAAAATTGTAAATAATAGTCCAATTTTAATGTTTGACACAGTTATAAAATGCACTTGACAATTTCTTTAAAACAAATGAAAATTGGTCCACTAACTTTTAAGAAATTGGTATTATAGCTTTTGCACTAGGAATGTCAGCCAGTTATAGCATTAAAAATGCTTAGATACCAACTTTAATGGGATTCAGTGTAAATTAATTTTTTGACTGATAATTTCGACGACCTAGGTGAAATAAGAACAATAAAAAGCAGAAAATTTCAACTTATTTAAAAAAAAATTTTTTTGGTGAAACCAGGGCCTCTTCACAAAAGTGGCATATACATGTCCAATATTTTAAAGTGTAGAATCACTAAAAAAAGTTTGATCCAAATCTGCAACCCACCAACCTGGTTGTCCCCGTGCTAGATAAAGAGAACCTATGTGGCTTCTGGTCGAGTGGTCCGTGTAATAACATAATTTTATTTTCAGAGGGTTATTCATTATTGATCATAAAGGAGTTCTTAGGCAAATCACGATGAATGATTTGCACGTGGGACGAAGTGTCGACGAGACGCTGAGGTTGGTCCAAGCATTCCAGTACACCGATAAACATGGTGAGGTCTGCCCTGCAGGGTGGAAACCTGGCCAAGATACTGTAAGTTTAAACTTAAAAACTTAAAAAAGTTATTTTTATTTGATTGGACTGTTATTATGTTTTTCTCTCAGATAATTCCAGATCCAGTTAAGAAGAAGCAATTTTTCGCTAAGCAGGATTTGAAACAGAAGAAGAAAACGGCAAAAAAGAATTAGCTCATAACTGATAATGTTTAAACATTCCCCCCCCCCTTGAAAAAAAACATCACTTTTGCATTTAATTATGATAAGACTTGTATGTTTCATGTGAAACTTATTTTTATAAATAACCCTTTCAATATATAAATCTAGTTTTATATTAAAAACTTGTGTGATAATATTAACAGTCTATAAAAATACAAATATTTAAAAGGAATAACTTGTTGCTTGTATTTTCTTTTTGCTTCAAGTTAAATTTCTACAAAAGATGCTATCATATCATAATTATGTTAACTTTAAACTTCATTTATAATTTAATAAGAATTTTTGGTTGTGCCAATGTATGAATGTTTCAAACCATCAAAATAACTCGTAATAAAAATAATTGTTTAATTATATTTATGATAGCTTTATTGTCATCTACTAGAATCACAATTTACATCACGATGATTGATTTAAATGAGTTTTACTGTCTTTCACTGAAGACATCCATTTGTATTATTTGTCAAAATGCTCATTATAATTATAATAATTGATACGGGTAATGTTTTATTTTGAAGAAACCACTTTTAAATATTGCAATGTAAACAATTTTTGGTTGAAATAAAATGAAAAAAGCATTATTATTAAAGAGTATTTTTTTATAAATTCATTTATGTGTATCCTCTCTGGTATAATACTTGTACAATGCCAACAAATTATAGTAAAACCACACACATTCACACATATAGACAAACACAACCAATAAAAACATTTAAACTGATAATCCAAACCAAACAAACAAAAATACACACAAAATAAAAAAATCAACCCAACCACAAATACTCACAAAAAAAGTACACCCAAAATCAACAAATAACAAGTAGCAGAGCAGGTGGAAAGAGTGACAAATGATCATGACGTTCTTTAGTATAGAGGTTATTAAAGTGAGTTGATTGATAATATGTACTTGTTGATATGGTCTGTCATAAAATACAAATTTAAGTTGCCACGCTGCAGAGCTTGTTAATATCGCCTGACCTAAAATACGAATTTAAGTTGCCATGCTGCAGAGCTTGTTGATATGGTTTGACATAAAATACGAATTTAAGTTGCCACGCTGCAGAGCTTGTTAATATGGCCTGACATAAAATAAGAATTCACGTTGCCACGCTGCAGAGCTTGTTAATATGGCCTTTACATAAAATACGACCTTGAGTGCCATGCTGCAGAGCTTGTTGATATGGTTTGACATAAAATACGAATTTAAGTTGCCATGCTGCAGAGCTTGTTAATATGGCCTTACATAAAATACGACCTTGAGTTGCCATGCTGCAGAGCTTGTTGATATGATTTGATATAAAATACGAATTTAAGTTGCCAAGCTGCAGAGCTTGTTAATACGGCCTGACATAAAATAAGAATTCACGTTGCCATGCTGCAGAGCTTGTTAATATGGCCTTTACATAAAATACGACCTTGAGTTGCCATGCTGCAGAGCTTGTTGATATGGTTTGACATAAAATACGAATTTAAGTTGCCATGCTGCAGAGCTTGTTAATATGGCCTTTACATAAAATACGACCTTGAGTTGCCATGCTGCAGAGCTTGTTGATATGGTTTGACATAAAATACGAATTTAAGTTGCCAAGCTGCAGAGCTTGTTAATACGGCCTGACATAAAATAAGAATTTAAGTTGCCACGCTGCAAAGCTTGTTATGGTCTGACATAAAATACACCTTGAGTTGCCATGCCTGCCATGATGCCGAGCTTTTTTAGCTGTTAACCAATTTTTTGGCATGGGTAAATTTTTAAAATAAAAACTTGGATCATCCTAATTTAAGTTCAGTTTCAATATATGTTATTCCTTGTTGTTATTTACAGGAGAAAAACAAAACAAACTGGCTTTGTTCTTCTGTGCTTAGCTCCAAAAAGGAAAATGTGGTCATTAATTGGGATGTACCATGAGATGTCATGATTCACTCTTGTTTTTTGATAGTTTAAAAATATTTAGCTGAACATATATTATACAAAATCATGTGCCTCTCAAGTTAAGGTCATTAGAGTGATTTTTGAACTATAGATGTTATTTTAAAATTTCAACCCTGATTAGTTGTGAAAGGAGATAAAATACAAAACCAGTGTGATGAATAAATTGATTGAATGAACAATTTATCATTTGGTCTTGTCATCAATCAGTCATTTGTAATCTCATATGTCATCATTCATGGTTAATACTGGGTTAAAATAATAATATAAATATTTTTTTTTTTATAAAATACACTTTATTTCAGTCTACAGGAAATATTAAATACTTTATTTTTTTGTGCTTTAAACCAAATACATTCAATTGTTTTATAACATTCAACGTTAAAATATTATTTTTACACTTATTAAACATTTATATATTTTTCATAAACATTTATATTCCATAGAATAAATAATAAAAATTTAACTTACGACTATTTATTTAATGAAAACATGGTAAAAATTTGTTTTACTTATCTTTTTTTTTGTTTTAAATTATAAATTTAAGGGAAACGTTTCATGCTGCCCCAAGACAGTAATTAATATACAGTTTTTTCTTAAATTTACTTTTAGGTTTAGGTTTTTTATTTTTTAACAGTATTTATAATCAAGAATGCTCCATACCCACTTGCACATAAACAAATTTCATACCTCAATGCCTCAGAGTATAGATAGTCACATATTCAGTTTTAAATTTTTGTATTGGGAAGAAAAAGAGAGAAAAAAATGGACGAAAGTGTGCTGAGGAAAAAAGTTTGCCACAAGTTTGGAAAAATTAATTTAAAAAAAAGATGGTTGTTCAGTGACTGGCAAAACATGGACGGTGTCTTTATGCTTCAGTTTTTTTAAATGTAAAATTTCGTCAAGGGGTTAAAATTGTACTTCTATATTGAAGAGAATACATAGAACTACCACAAGTGGTGTATAAACTGCAATTAGCTTTGTAATAACTTTAATTTGATAAATTGATATGTTTATTCTAATTTTTACTTGCTTTTAAAAAAATACTTATCATTTTCTGTATTGAAGAACTATGATTATAAAATAATTTTAATTTGTTACTTGTAATGAGAAAAAAGCCCAATTCGCCAATGAACATTTACAGGGAAGCGTTTTATACTTTAGGATAGGTTTTAATAAATCAGTTGGTAATGCTGGATTTTACGAATAGGTTTGATATATTAAAAATAAATTAAAATAGCTGAAATTTATTTAAAAAATAAATAAAATAAATAAAAGTCATCTTTGGCAAGATGTCGATTTTCTTTATAGAGTTAGCGTGTGAGTAAACCATCAAAAGGTACGGGTTAAAAAAACCTTTCCAAACATAAATTATTTATACCAGGGGTAATCTTGTTATTTATAATTGATTAGTTTCTTCCCGTTTCGGGAGTTGTTCCAAAGGGATAGGTCCGTTTGAAAAGTTTCCGCCGGGTTGGCATCATCCCCTTGAGGGGTGCGCGGTATTTTCTTTTAAGGTCAGTGTTTTTTGATGTTTCAAACTAATCCAGCTTTTTAAAGGAATAGGAATAATGAATGTTAATCTATTTAGAATATGCAATAATTGTAACCACATAACTAGGCAATTTTACGAAAAAATCAAGAAAATTATTATAAAGTGTAAGGAATGTTGAGGTTATCAGCTCATAGATAATGTTTATTTGTATTTTTTGTTTTTAACTGAGGTTTCAAATTAAAATAGAAACATGTAGGCAGGTAGGAAAATTAAAAATGCTACTTATAAACTTGGAACTTTTTTATATTACCATTGGGTTAATCTAGTTATAAATAAAATAAAATAGCGTATTTGTAAGAAAATAAATTTTACTTTTGTTTTGCCTTAAGCCACATTTTTTAAAACTTTCGTAAATGATTATCAAGTCAAAGGAAAAATGGCAAAGTTGCTTAATTGTTAACTGAAGATAAATCCTTTCAATCCACCAAACTTGTAGGGACATAGTTGAAATTGTAGATTTCTTTTGCAGTACATATTATTATGTCTAGGTATTTTTTTATATAAATTTTTTAGGGCGTGTAAACTGAACGTTGCAGTTGTTTTGAAGTATGGGCAAACTTCCAGTCCTCAACTATGATCCTGAGCGTTTAATTTTAATTTTAAACAACTTTTATGTATATTTTTTACGTAGTGCAACTTTTAAAAAATCACGTCGCACAAGTTATATATTGTGTGACAATTATAAAAGAAAAGAACCGTTTTTAAATTGGAAAAAACCAGATGGCTGACTGTATGCGATTAAAACCAAGGGTATCGTGTTATCATCAATTGGACCACATTTCTCTTTTTCTCAATTTTTATCTTTTCGATCGACGTCCCGTGTCTGGACTTGATGCAAATCACCCTTGAAAAACGAAGAAATTTTTCGCCGGACCTAAATCGGCGTACGAATCACCTCAGAACGGAAAGCATGTACCCGATGGCGAGAAGGCAGGTCGCGAAGGTCCGTCCCACCCCTGAAGTGCTCTCTGTCGGTTCCATTTTCGATGCCGCCAGCGCACTGGCCCTGGTACTCAGGCAGTTCTGGTATTGGTTGTATTCGAGCTGAGTGATGGCGCAAAAGTGCGCGTTAGTCCAAGCTGTGTTCGTCGGCAGCTTGTAACTCCTCACTGAATTCGCCATCCAATACCTGCAAAAGGACGACATTAGACATAGACTCCTACAACAATATTTGTCACATTTCACATAAAATAAGCACACATGCAATAGATAATCCGAAGATAATCAGTTCGATTGGATATGCTCGGGTGCAAGTTCTACAGTATGCAGTGTCCAGCACCAAAGCGCAATACGAACCGATACAATATTTGAAGTACTTGAGTGTATTAAAGAAATGTATTCATAATAAATATATTGATTATATTCCTTTTGATATTTTCCTGTCTTCACCTATATTCTGTATCATCGGTCGGAATTATGCTTCGACATTTTTTTTTTTTTTTGACTGGGGCTTCCGACAACTAGGTCATTTCAGCCCCCAACTAAGTTTATATTCTATTTACACTTTCAAACACTACATTCATACAAATAAATACATTCATACACATAATACACATAAGTACATCCATACAGTACACTCATTCCGTTTGGTCGGTGGAGTACTTGATATTCTTCCACCGACCCTATACTCAAACTAATCTAGACTGGGGTCGATGGGGTACTTTAATAGATATTCCGCCATCGACCTCGAACACACACACTTACGCTCTCATCGTTAAGGGGTGATGATGACGTTAGATTTCACCATCAATCCTCGCCATTCACGCTAATAAATACATGCACTCAGACAAAACATATAGACACACAACACATAAGACATACTATATACAATAAAAAACCCCAATTTCCCCTAAAAAGCGGAACAGGGGACTCTGAAACTCGCTACCGTGCTCGAGAACTCTTCTTAAGTCCGGCGGCATGCCTACACGCTCTCTGTATGGAGCCAAGGCATGACACGCCTCCATTATGTTGGACACATCGAGCAACCTTTCTCTGCATAAGGGGCACCTGCGCGGGCTTTGGCTCAAAAGCAGGTGCCCATGTGTCAACCGCGTATGGCCAATCCTCAGTCGGGTGAGGACGATCCCTCGTCTCCTGCTCAGATTCTCTGAGGGCCATCTACCGGTCGTGCTCTTGACTCGCAAGAGCCTCTCCGACGACCCCGCCCACTGACGCTGCCATCTTTCTTTTATCATATTTTTAATTGCGTGTTTAGCGTCAGGGGGCCTGATCGCGATGGTCCGATCCGGAGGGTGGGACGTACCGGCTTTCGCCGCCTCGTCCGCTCGTTCGTTACTCTCCAGGCCGACGTGTCCGGGAATCCAGACAACAACCACCGTTTTTCCGAGAGGCTCCACAGAGAACCTGTCGCGTATAGCCCAGACAGCGCTCAGAGAGTCTGTACATACGAGGAAGGCTGAGCCCTCCCCGGTCCGCACCACCTCGAGAGCGTGCCAAATCGCATACAGCTCTGCTGTGTATAGGTTGGAATGAGGGGGCAGCGACCAGGAGGTGGACACTCCCTCGCTATACACAGCACATGCCACACCATCGCCGGTCTTGGACCCGTCTGTAAAAATCAGACGAAAACCGGCGTATCTATTTCTAAGTTCAAGGAACTTAGCCTTGTAGAGGTATGGCGGCGTACACGATTTATTCAAGTTCGCCAGATCGTCGCGGACGAGCACGGCCGGAATGGTCCAGGGGGATGTCGGCCGGTGGCCCAACCGAAGAACTGTTCCCAGCGCCAATCCGGCCCTCCCTAGGGACTCACCGAAGCGAATCCCGAGGGGTCGCGTCCGCGAGCGAAGCCTGTCGTAAACTACTCTGTACAGGCAGTGGAGGATCTTCATAGCCAGGGGGTGCTCCGGCTTGGCCAAGAACCCGGCCGCGTAACCGAGGGTGAGTCGCTCTCTCCGAAGTTCGACATTATTCTGTTAATAATTATCGTCTTTATTGCAAAGGCGGGGGAACTGATTAACGAGCACAATTCAAACTGAAGTTGGTTGTCAAGGAATAGAACTTGTGAACGTAAATCCGCTTGTAAACTAACTTCCTGCCTTGTTACAATGTTATAAACTCAAAGTAGTAAAGAACCCCGGGAAAAAGTGCAACAAAAGTAAGATTTATTCAGCGCCCTGTAAATGGATTAACGGAGTGATTTTTCCTTGATACTTCATTTTAACATTTCAATAGGACAAATAAATATTATGGTGAAACCAATAGCGGTCCATTTTTAAGTATGTATTTAAATAACTAGGCTGGTTATTCAATATCTTCTATGCTGATGAATCTGTACAGGCGAGAAACCACTTTTTCCTTTCAGTATTGAATGTTTATTCCGGATAAATTGAGCTAAGGACGATAATAAATAATCCAAAGGTGCGAGATCGGAAAAAGCTAATTAAGAACATTCAATTAATTAAGGTTTTTAGTTGAGATAAAAAAGTCAGTGTCACGAGCGGGATTCGAAACCACGACCTTCGGCTTGATACGTCGCTACTCTACCACCTGAGCTATCACAGGATCAAAGTCACGATCATAGGCGGTTTTAGTTAACTCAAATGAAGTCCAGAAAATCCCCAGGATTGGATTTGTGCTTCGGCATTCAATATTGGAAAGGAAGTTAGTTATTAAGGATGATAATGGAGGAAAGGAAAATATAAAAATAAGGTTTTATAGCTTATTTGTTTTATGATGTTCGCGTACCTGACTGCGGCTGACTTTGCATGTATGTGTTCTGTACTTAATGCTGTAGGTATTGCTGTTAGTGCAAATCATTTTTAGAAAGCTGCGTTGTATTTGTGTTTTTTCCGTGTTTAGTATTTATTTTGTCGAAATCAAGTTGTTTTTCAAAGTGGTGTGTGGCCAATGCTGTGCGATTTATTTTTGGTGTTTTACAATCATAGATTTTTCCCCCGTTTTTCTAGATATTGCGTTGTAATTCTAATGTATGTTGTTCTTAAAATTAATTTTATGAATTACATCAATTACACATATATGTCCATTCGTCCACATGTTGTCACACAAATTAAGTATATTTCTCGCCTCAAACCACATTAAAATAGTCTTCAAAAATCACAAAACAGTATACACTCTTATATTACGACCCAACAACAGCCTACAAATTCGATGTAATTAATAATTTAATTAATTAAGGTTTTTTGTTGAGATAAAAAATTCAGTGTCACGAGCGGGATTCGAACTTACGATCTTCGGCTTGATACCCCGCTACTCAAATCACGATAGCTCAAGTGGTAGAGTAGCGGCGTATTAAGCCGAAGGTCGTGGGTTTGAATCCCGCTTATGATACTGACTTTTTATCTCAACTAAAAACCTTAATTAATTAAATGGTATTAGTTGGTCAAGCGGACCATGAAAACTAGTGAACTATTTAAGAACGTTAATTGGAGAGGTGGTCTAACGTGATATACTTTGAAGTGTTATATTCCAGAGTCTTTGGCAGTTTACCGACAACTAGATAAAGAGAGCTCAGAACATAAAGAAAGAGGGAATCGAAAATGTCATTAGTAGTTGAGATGGTCAGACATAAAGTATGATTGTAAGATGCCTCGTTGCATAGCTTAGGGTATATCATGAAACCCTGACATGTGCAGTTTATGATGCAGAGCTTGCTGAGATGGTTTGTCTTGAAACATGACCTTGATACGTGCAACTCATGATGGTGTGCGAGGTGAGATCATTTAGCATCAATTACGACCTTGAGATGCTATGTTGCAAAGCTTGTGAAGATGGTCTGATATAAAATATAACTTCACTAGTTTCGAGGTCCGCTTGACCAATTAATATCTTAGAATTAATTAAGGTTTTCAGTTGAGATAAAAAATTTAATGGTACGAGCGGGATTCGAACTCACGATCTTCGGCTTGCTTGATTCGCCGCTGCTCTACCACTTGAGCAATGAAATAGATTACACGACATTTAAAAAATGGCAAAAAGGAGGGAAAATTCAAAAGGTGGGGTTGAGATGGGAAGTTAGTGTTCGAGTGGATCGAGGTCACGACAGCTCAAGTGGTAGAGCAGCGGCGTATCTAGCCGAAGATCGTGGGTTCGAATCCCGCTCGTGCCATTGACTTTTTTATCTCAACTAAAAACCTTAATTAATTGTAAGATAAAATATAACCTTGAAAAGGTTGTCTGGCATAAATACAACCTTGAGATGTCATGCTATGAGCGTTTTGGCTGTTGATCGACATTCGTGGTGCAGAGATTGTTGAGATAGTCTGGAATGAAATACGCCTTAAGATGCTAGGCAGGAGAATTGGTTGAGGTCGTCTGATATAAAGTATAACTTTGAAATATTGTATTACTATCCAGAGCTTGTTGAAACGGTGTGTCATGAAATATGAACTTGTCATCTTCAGTTCATCACGCAGGGTTTGTTGATATGGTCTTACCCAAATACCATCTTGAGATGCCATGCTGTTGGACATAATGAGGTGGTCCGATATAAAATTGGATTTTGAGATGTCATCCTGCAGAGATTCTTGAGATAAACTGTCATGAAACACAACCATGGCATATGCACTGATGATGCAGACCTTGTTGAGATGGTTTGGCTTAAAATAGAACTTGAGTTGCTGGGCTACAGAAATTGTTGAGGTGGTCTCATATAAAATATAGTTTTGAAATGCATTAATCCAGAGCTTGTTTAAACGTCTAGCAATATTGGCGAAGGGGTATGTGGATAATATCCGGTTGAGAGAATAAGTTGGTGTCTGGGGAGATCGAGGTCGCCATAGCTCAAGTCGTTCCGAAGGTCGTGGGTTGGAGTCCCGCTCGTGACACAGATTTTTCTTTCAACCGTCTTTGCATAATAATTTTGATATTAAATGGCCTCTAATAAAACACATCCTTGGGATCTGCAGTTCATCTCGCAGGATTTGTTTTATGGCCTGACACCCAATTCGATCTTGAGATGACATGCTGTGGGACTTATTGATACGAAAGCATTGAAAAGTCATAAAATACTTCCTGACGTATGCAGCTCGTGATGTGGAGCTTGTTAAGGTAATTTGATTTCAAATACGATCTTCAGATGCCATGGTGCAAAGGTTGTTAAAGTGGTCTGATAATATTATATACCTCGAGATCTTTTAGCAGCTGACC